TCCCAGTCGAAGGGGCCCACCTCCTGGGGGGACCTTACATGTGTCGAATACCCCTGCACCCGACCCCGCAATGGCCTGACGTCCTATTCTAAACCTTTCAAGTATCCGACAGTACTTCGACCTCAAGAATTACCGGAATCATTATTTTATTGACTCTCTCCCCATCATCCTCTATATCATCCAGACGCAGATCAAAATTCTTATACGTTCAATCTTTCGAAAGTGCCCTCCAGACATTCAAATAGGTCACATATAACTTTCTTTTTATTCCTTGAAATTCTCACACTATATTTTTTTCTTTTCCAACAAGGGATAAACGAACTTTTTCATACATTTTCCAGTTTTCAGAAAATTTTTTGATCTTTATAAATATGATTGTTAAGAAGAATAGTCTACTTCTATTTTCAAAGAGTCTTTATTAAAAGTACCGTTTATTTTAAAAATGTTATACTTTCTTCTGCAAAAAATAATTTTAAATGAAATTCCTTCAAGAGAATTAACTAATTGCAATTTTCCAGAGTTTGTAATTGGAAATTGACTATATATTATTACTATAAATATTAAAAGTAATCGATAATGAATTTTAAGAGACAAGAAAGTTATGGATGAGTTAGCAAAAAAGGAAAAGAATGTTCTTGTTATACCTGAAAGTAATAAGATTCTCAAAGGGTTAAAAATAGAAGAATGTCGATCAAAATAATTCAAGTCAAATTTAGAAAAATTTATATTAGCAAGTCTCAGCATTTTCAGAGTTGACACAAACATTTAATTTTGTTTTTCCCTGATTTCCAGACAAAATTTTGTCTTTTTTTCTGAACCTAAAGAATATTCCTGATTCACTCTAAAAATGGTTAGATACTCAAAAAAATGTTCTAATAGTTATTGAAAAAATTATTTTAGAAATTTCAAATTCATTTGTTTACTATTCAATTTAACGAAATTTCGATTATTAGGAAAATCTTCAATTAAATATAAATTTTTTAAAAAATTCAATTAAACTTTTTCAAAAAAATTAATTCTACAGAATTGTTAGTTAAAAGTATGAAAAATTTAAAATTTAAAAGATTTTGATTTGAAAGCATTTAAAAAATACAATTATTTCTAAAAATCCGTATTATAATCCATTAAATATTCAATTATTTTCTAAAATTTAAACTAAGAAGAAATTTTTTATTTTATGAAGATAATTGAACTTCTGGGAAGAACTTTATTTCAATTTTCGAAAATAATTGAAATTTGGCAAAGTATTTTATTATTTATAAAGATAGTTGAACTTTTGGGAAGAATTTTATTTTGGAATTTTGGAAAATAATTGAATTCCTGATGAGGATTTTGTTATTTACGAAACTAATGGACTTTTGGGAAGAAATTTATTTAAATTTTGGAAAATAATTGAATTATTGCGGATAATTTTTTATTTATGAAAATAATTAAAATTTGGCAAAGTATTTTATTATTTATAAAGATAATTGAATTTTCGGAAGAATTTTTTAAAACTTTGGAAAATAAATCGAAGAGCTGACTGACCTTTTTTGAAAATCGGAAAAAATACAAAAAGTCGTTCTACTCGAGACCTGAATGAAAGAAATTTTAACAAAAGTATTCAATCATAATTGGAAAAACTCTACGAATTTCAGTTTGATTTTAGGAAGAAAATTAAAAAAATAAATGCAAACCTAATATAGAGCAAGACAACCTTAAAACAAAAATGCACATGTTGGCACCACGTGCGCCTCGGGATGTTTACCTCAACAAGAACGAAATTCCGCCTTGAAATCAATATTATTGTTCGCCGTCGGCTAAATTTGAATTTGCTGCTGCACCTATGGAAAGATAATGGAATTACTGCTAAAGCATTGAGAAACGTGAAAACAGAAATCAGTCAAAGTGATTTGCAATCGAATTCCTCACATTGTATACTTGCGCCTCATATATATAGAGAGAGAAAAGGGATCTAGTAATTATTTTGATTGATTAATCCATCAATCAACCGCAAGTATTTTAAATACACGAAACAATTCGATGTTTAGTATACGTGAATATTGTAATTAATTAAATAGTGAAACAGATCGTCATTGAAAAAAGTGACAATGTAAGTGTGATTCGGAATTTCTATATATATTTGATGAACTTTGCGAACTAAGACAGAATTTGTTCACGCGTGCTCCTAATTATACATACAACAAATTTAATGAATGAGTGAGCTAGCAAAGACAGTGCACCATACATATACCACGGTCAATGCCGTGTGGCGGCTTTTGTGGAGGATCAAAGAACCCCCTCACTCATATACGCAAGATTTCATTTCGTATTTACTAGAACTTTTGTTAAACCTAAGGGCATACTCATTCCAGGCATTATCAATTATTTTTAAAAGAACATATTCCAAACCCTCAAATAATAAAAATTACCATTAGTTTTGAGAATGTCTTTTAAAAACACATTGTTCAGTGGTGATTTACTTATTTTTGTCCTTTTAAGAATTTTTTTTTTATAATTAAATTAGAATTATTTTATATTAATCTATTTAAATTAATAATATCTCGTTTAGATATTATTATCAGGATTGCCAAAAAAATTTGATTTTTTTCCCTGACTCTAAAGAATATTCTGCGATTCACTCTATAAAAATTATTCTAGAATTACTCTGCTTTCTTGGGACAAAAATATGGTAACTGACATATTTAACAATAAATTAATATCTAATGATAGAAACAAACGATAATAAAAATCTTCTAAGTTCTGTTCTATTAAAAAATTTTTTTATTCACAAAAAATTTAATTTTTGTATAAATTTTTAGAAATTTCCCTGACTTTCAATGAAATTCTCTGACATTTCCTGACTTCCCTGACCGTTAAACACCCTGTTAATAGTCTCCACCCTTTGGTAAAAAATCTAAAATTATTAAAAATTATCAAAAATTCGAAAAACCGAATTTCTTAAAATTCAACATTTTTTCTTCTCTTTTATGGCATTTAGCTTTATTATTTTTGTGCTCTTCAAAAACACTTTACTTATTTAATAATCTTCACCCTTTGGTAAAAAATTTAAAATTATCAAAATTTATCAAAAATTCAAAAAACCGAATTTCTTAAAATTCAACATTTTTTCTTCTCTTTTATGGCATTTAGCTTTATTATTTTTGTGCTCTTCAAAAACACTTTACTTATTTAAAAGTCTCCACCTTTTGGTAAAAAATCTAAAATTATCAAAATTTTTCAAAAATTCGAAAAACCGAATTTCTTAAAATTCAACATTTTTTCTTCTCTTTTATGGCATTTAGCTTCATTATTTTTGTGCTCTTCAAAAACACTTTACTTAATTAAAAGTCTCCACCTTTTGGTAAAAAATCTAAAATTATCAAAATTTTTCAAAAATTCGAAAAACCGAATTTCTTATAATTCAACATTTTTTCTTCTCTTTTATGGCATTTACCTTCATTATTTTTGTGCTCTTCAAAAACACTTTACTTACTTACTACCAAAAAATCTAAAATTTTCTTATCAATTCTAAAAACTTAATATTTTTACAGTACTTTAGATAATATTCCCTGATTTTTCCCTGATCTGTGCGGCAACTCTGATTATATCTATACACCCAGAAAAAAAGTTTTGTTAATTTAAAGAAATAAGTTTTTTAGATTCGTTTTGTTTCAATCAAAATAAATTTTTCTTTAAAACAAAAGAATATTTTTGATTCAAACAAAATTTCTTTGATTTAAAAAAACTTTTCCTTGATTCAAACAAATTTTCGTTGAATCTAAAAAAATTATTCTTTAAATCAAAGAAATTTTTAACTGATTTATATCGATGAAAAAATTTCTTTTAAAGAATTAATTCTTTAATTTAAAAAGGAAAATTTTTTTTAAACAATTAAATTGTTTTTAAATCAAATAAATTGTTTTTAATCAAATAAATTTTCCCTGATCAAATATATTCTCTTTGAATCAACGAAAAAACAAATTAAAGCAAAGATTTTTTTAAATCAATAAAATCTTTTTTCTAAGTCTAAATAATATAATTATATAATTCAAAATACTTCCATTTCTAAGAAAATATATCTAATTTTTCTTTTTCCACGCATTGAATTCTAAAGGAATTAAAAATTTTTTGCAACAAAATTGACTGCAGCATCTGTCAGAATTTATGCGTTCTCGCGAAATTAGGCTGCGACCAAGAGACTAGTTTAATGCGCTTGTCGGTAAGAAATGAAATATACGATTCTCAGGTCTAGTCCGGATTTAATTTAGACGTGGGTGTAGCTGCTTCTGTCCAATGTCTATATATCATAGACTTATGCTCATTTAATAAACGTAACACAAATAATTGAAGCAAACATTCGTTTAGGAATTTTAAATGTATCTTCAATTTTCCCCAATTTAATTATATTAAAAGAAATTAATTTCAATAATTCGTCTAATTCTTACTCTTCGTTACATTCGTCAGTTAAACAATTCAACCGAATGTTTTCTTATAAATATATTTTAAACAATTCATTTAATAAATTACATTTATGTTTATTAAATTATCAATTAACAATATTTATTCAATTAGTAATTTGCTATTACCAAATAAAATAATTATTTATCAACGTATTTATTAATTTTCAAATAATTATTAGGTGATTGTCAATATATTTAGTATATTTTCAAATAGTTTAAAAGAAAAATTTTAATTGAAGAAAATCGTATATAGAACTGTATTCTAAAAAAAAACGTAAAAAAACGTAAAAAATCGAATCCAAAAATAGAAAGACGATAAATTGAAAACAAATTTGCGAGGAAATTTCCAATTTTTATGAATCCCATAATCATGAAAAAGAATTAATTCGAGAATGAAAATTCATTGGTCCTTTTTTTGATAATCATGTTTGTTAACTTTTTTTTCCAATCTCTAGATCTAATACTTCTTCATCTTCTTTTCTTACTGTCTTAATATTAAAAAGCGACTTAGAGAGTCTTGGAAGGACCACCATTAAAGTCTCTAACTGTGCAACATACCTTGATGGACCTGGGGAGCTGGCTTAAGGTAGAGGACAGCGGCAGAATCCGAACAAGTATAACCCCCACCATCGAGAGGTGGTCCACGGAACCGCCTCCCTGATCTTCCATCTCTTTGCTTCCACTGTGTTGGTCCACGTTTGTGTACATTTGTCTTTTTTCCCGTTCACGTGTATTGGTGCCTGGTGTGTCCCGGTGTGTCTCTCAGTGCGCCACTAGAACCTCCCTGATTCTTCGTGTCATCCGGTTCTTCCTAATCCCAATATCATCTCCTCTCTCGTGTGCGAGATGTTCTCCTAAAATCAACAATAAAATCAGTCACAGAGAAATTACACCAATAAACCAGAGGCAAAAAAAATATAAAAAAAAGACGAATGAAAATAAGGGAAAAAATATTCGCGAAACTTCCGGGTTGTGCAGCAAGTGTAATCCAGTGCGTTTGAGGTCAAAGCGTGTGGAAAGTCATTAAACGATAAATTGATAAATTAAAGTTGGATTAAAAATACACTTTTACGCGAGACCATTGCGATTAATGAATGAATTGTGCAAATATATTGCTTATTAGCAATTTATTGGAATTTCATCAATTGGACTTTCATTCATTAGTAGAATTTATCAGTTTTTACAAAATATCATTTATAGCGATATTGATAAGTTCATAAATATGGTAATTAACGTCATTTCTAATGATCTGTGCGACCAAGTGCAATTTAATGTTTAAATATCATCCGAAACGATTATCGTGAAGGAATGTCGAACTAAAATACGATTCATATTATAATTATCTAAAGAATATTCAATTCAATTCGAATAATATCGAAATGGAATCACACAATACTTCGGATGCTGAGGGAAAAGCTGGACCGTCAAATCCAACAGGCTCCTCTTTAGACGATGCGGTGGGAAAACTACTACAAGGTACAATTTTTCAAATAAAAACCAAATCCCCCGACGCGGTAATTCGAAATTCGAGAAAATTACAATTAAAATAAGTACAGTAAATTAAATAAAATAGTAATTAAATTAACAAAGTAGTATTTATTTAATTAACAAAGTCTAAATACTTCCGAGTTCTATTTTTGTCAGTTATTTATACTGTTATTTCAGAGTAGATTTTAGAATGAATTTCAGAATAGATATTCTATTAATATAAGGTATTGTCTCTAGTTTTCTAATCGGACATTATGAAACAAGGCCACTTTGTTGATGATGAATATCAAATAAGACAATATTTGAGGAATATGATCACCATCTTTGCATCTCCTTTGGCCTTTCTCCCCTCTTTCTTAGCAATCATGCAACTTGCGTCTTCTTCAGCTCGTTTAGCAAGGACATTTTAATTGGCGCTGAAAGCCAACGTCGACAACCATCGTTCTTCCGAGTGTCAGATTTATCCGCGCGATAATAAACCCAAGAAACAAGCGCAAAACGGAGGTCCAGAGGATTTATAGACTTTTCGAAGTTTACAAATTTTGTAAAATAGTCGGAAAAACGTTCTTTTTTCCTGAAGGCAAAGAATTCATTTTTCAATTTCTGCAATTAAATTCATCCTTCGAATTTCTAATTAAATTAATTTCCTTTTTCGAATTTCTTATTAAATTCATTGAATTCATTTTCGAATTTTTTAAAATTAATTGTTCTGAAAAGCAGAATTTTTTTTGAGAAATGTTGTATTTTGAAAAATATTTTTAAATTTTATTTTTGTACACCATTAAATTGTATGTACAAGTTTTGAATATGTAATGGAGATAAAAAAATGAATTTCGACTTGAAGGAAAAGATGGATGAGTCCGGCGATAATGAGAGCATCAACATTTTGGAGGAGTGTGTATATAAAGAGGGAGGATTCTCTCGATGTGAATAAGTCGAAGTAGCAGTATAGAAGTTGGAAAGATTTGCGAAGCAGGTGCTGCGAGCAGAGCGAAACCGCTGTACCACACTAATTATGCGCGTACCGAATTAAATCTGACACATCTTGTAGTTACGAGCAATACTGGCTGACATAATTTATAGCGTGAGCTGTGCAACCGAACAACTTTTCAGAGTTGGACACCGCAGAAGATACATTTCAACATCGAAGACTTTAGACGCGCGCCACGACGACGCGATTCCGTTTTTGAAATGACAAAACCTTTCTAATAGCCACATCAATTAGTCCAAACATCATTTTCCTTCATTTTCTCTCTGGAAAAATGTTTGTCAACAAATTTTTTTACAATCCGAATTTGAATCTAAAAATCAGAATTTATTTAGCGAAATTTAAAAAAAAACCTTTCTTTCTGATTATTCACACATTGTTTTGATATTTCAATAAAAATTATTTTGCAATATTTTGATAAAAAGATGAAAATGATTAATAGAGAAGAAAGTGGCGAGGAAGAATGAAGAAAGAAACATAACGACTCTAAATTACTTTGTGAATTAATTTCAAAGGATCTTGATAGATTTGGTTAATTGATGATGGGACTAAGTGTTGGAGCATTTAACGTGAAAGTTGCTAACAAGTGGAAGCTTGTACAGGAGTTAATGTGCCAAGTATTGCGACAGGTCGTCATTGATGAAAAGGATTTAAACCAAACACTTGTTCTTTCAATAGGGGACAATCAACTGTTGTCAGAATTCTAAGCCTTGTTTAGCAGTTCATCAAACATTCATCTCAACACCATCAACAATCCAATTTGAGAAAATTGACAAATTAAGATTATTCAATTTAGCGACAAATCACCGAAATAATGATCCTAATGTACGGAAAATTTAAATGAACGAAATTTATTTCTTTCTTTTTCAAATTAAATTTTTACTTTTTATTTTTACAAAAATTAATTAAGTACTTGTGAATTATAATAAAACGAAAAATTCTATTTTCACTTTAAAGATTTAAAATAATTTTTTGTACAATCTCAATTGAATCAATTTTAAATAAAAATAGACATAATTCACTTCTTTTTTTAAACTTGCAAAAAAAAAATTTTTAATAATAAATAATAATTGTTTTTTAAGAATAACAAACAGGGATCACAGACTGTCACCTCTTTACCTTTTCTCCTTTTTTAAATTTTCGCACTAATTTCATCTACTTTGTAAACCTTTTATAATATTTTCAATCAAAACTAATTTATAAAAATTTTTAAATAATTTTTATTTCAATAATTAAATTAAAATTCTAAATTTTTAAAACTTTCAACGATAAAATTCTTAATTAACTCTCAATTTAAATCTTCAACATTTTTAATCTTTCTTCATTAACATTCTATTGAAATTAATTAAATTTCTACAACGAATTTAACTATTTATAAAAATTAATTGAATTCTCAGGAATAATTTTGTTAAAATTTTTGAAAATAATTAAAATTCTGCGGAGTATTTTATTATTTATAAAGATAATTGAATTTTTGGGAAGAATTTGATTTAAATTTTGGAAAACAATTGAATTCCTGTGGAGAATTTTTTTTTTATTTATGAAGATAATTTAATTTTTGAAAATAATTAGAATTCTGTGTAGTATTTTATTATTTATGAAAATAATTGAATTTTCGGGAAGAATTTTATTTAAATTTTAGAAAATAATTGAATTATAGCGGATAACTTTTTAATTTATGAAATTAATTGCATTTTTAGAAAGAATTTTATTTAAATTGTGGAAAATAATTGAACTTTGGCGAAGTATTTTATTATAATTATAAAGATAATTTAATTTTTGGAAAGAATTTTATTTAAATTGTGGAAAATAATCGAACTCCTCCTGAATTTTGTTATTTTTGATCAAAAATAACAAAATTCTCCGCAAGAGTTCAATTATTTTCCAAAATTTAAATCAAATTCTTCCCAAAAATTAAATTAAACTAAAATTTTAGAAATTAATTGACTTCCGTTGGAGAATTTTGTTATTTATGAAGATAATTGAATTCTTTTGAGAATAATTTTATTTAAATTTTAGAAAATAATTGAATTATTTGAAAGAAATTAAAAAATTAAATTAAATTAAAATTTTTGAAAATAATTCAATTCTTGTGGAGTATTTTATTATTTATAAAGATAATTGAATTTTTGAGAAGAATTTTATTTTTTCGGAAAATAATTGAATACTAATATACTACTAATTATAATTTTGTTTGTGACCTTCTTGTGCCTTTTTTAAAAAAATAATTCAGCTTTTCACCTATTGTAAGGAAAAAAGATACTGTGATCCCTGAATAATTAATAATATTTTATTGTAATCACCAGAGTTATTTCCTAATTTTCTAATAATTTTAATTTTCAAAATAATAATAATTACATTATTATCAAAAAACAAATCTAAATTTTAATATTCAGATGGTAATCTACGAAAATCGTCTTATTTCGATTGAAAGAGAAATTAAGAAGGGGTTTAAAACATACCGAGAAAGAAGATACTTGCAATCATCGAAGATGGAAAGACTTAATTCACGTGAAAGATATTCCTGGTGTTTGCCTCAAGAAACCCTTTCCGCATTTCCACGTATCCTGACAGACGCAGACGGAGGGTATCACAAAGGACCTCCAGCATTGAAAGAAAGCCGCCAGAGATGCCGCATCGGTGGACCATATCCTCTTGAGTAATTAGCTTCCAAGTTCGTCTTCTTGTCTCCCCGTGCGATGACGTTCATCGACAAAAATCCTAGTTACTCCCCTCTCCATCTGTAATTAGGAACTTACTGCTAACTTTTAAAGTGACTTTCACTCCTTCCGCGTCTTTCACGTAATTTTGTCTTACGCCTCTTCATAAACTCACCCTTTAAAAAAAATCTCACTTCAATGAATTTATATATAAGACATGAACATGTGTTTAAGGAAAAAGCACGTTGAAATTGGTTGTCGACACTTCGTCACATTCTTCACTCTGTTAAACAGACAAATGCATCTTCATTATACATACAATTTATTTATTATATTTTTATTAAACTGAAAATGAATTTCCATAACAGAAAATATTTTCAATATAAAATAATACAATGTATTATTAATTATTATGAAAATTACAAAATTTCTTATCTTCAAATATAAATCTTTGAATAATGTCATAATCAAAATTCAAAAAATTCGCTTATTAAAAACATTATTAATTATTATTGTTTATATTTTCAACAAAATTTTAATTCAAATTTCATGAAAGAATTCAGTTATTTTCTAAACTTTTAATAAATTCTTTTGGAACAATCCAATTTTTTGTATAAGTAGTAAAATTCATCGCAAGAAAATTATTTTTAATTAGTTATAAAATTCTTCTCAGGAATTAAATTATTTTCAATACAATTTTAATAAACTTCAATAATCAAATATTCAATTATAATTATTAACAGACACGATTATTTTAAAAAGTTGACAAAAATTCTTTGTTTAATTTAATTATTTTTAAGAAAACTTAAAGAAACTCTTCAAAAGAATTAAATTATTGACAAAAATAGTAATAAAATTGTTTAAAAGAGTTTAAATTTCTATAAATAATTTTAATTAAATTTTAATAGTAATATTATTAATTACAATTATTAACAAAATCGATTACATTCAATAAATTAAAGAAATTTTTATAAAAAAATTCAATTATTTTCTATATTTTAATAAAATTCTTTGAATGAATTAAATTATTTTAGAAAATTGTAATAAAATTCTGAGAAAAATTTAATTATTTTCTAAAAATGTTAATAAAATTCTATAATTAAATGATTAATTTCAATTATTAAGAAACACGATTATTTTAAAAACTTGAAAGAAATTATTCATAAAATTTAATTACTTTCAAAATTTCCAATTGAAATTATTTTAAAAAACTCCATTATTTAAAAAAAATTTAATTAGGATTTTCAAAAATTTTACTAAAATTCTTCGAAGAAATTCAATTATTCTCATATTTTTTGATAAAATTCTTCGCAAGAATTAAATGATTTTCAATACATTAATTTTTAAATTGAAAAAATTAGAAGTTTTTATTGAAATTCTGAAAATTTATTAGAATTAGTTGATCGATTTAATAGAAATAAATATTAAGAATGTTAAATTATTTTACACTATAATTTTAATATTAAAATTAACAAAAAAATAGAATATAAGAATAATATTAAAATAATAATTATTAATTAGTATCAGCAATTTTAAGAAAAAGTAATTAACTTAATCGCAAAAATAATATTAGTAGACCACCAGCCTCGAGGCTTTTGTGATTTCAGGTCATAAAACATTTGAGACCCTTATCTTATTTTCTGCACCAAAAGACAAATAGATAAATACTGGCAGCAAAAAATGCCGTAAGGATACAGGTGTCCTTTTATCGTATTCATTTACAAACTAATTCCTTACCAAAAAACCTGCTTCCTGTATATTTCTTATTGTAAACAAGAAAATGTCCTAACAATAAACTTATATTTACAATCATGAAACATGACTAAAATAACAATTTTCGGCAAAGTTTTTTCTTTTATAGAATAATATCTAATCTTAGGCAATTTTCGAAAAAAATAAATAATTTAACCGTGATGGTAACTTTGGGTCTTTCAGGTTATTCGGGTTATTCAATCAATTAATCATGGAATTAAGTTTCACCAATTTCACTTACTGCAAAAAGTTGACACAAAATTGAGGTTATGTTGACAAAGAAAGTATATACAAATGTATATATAAAATCGAACAGTTTGGTCACTGTAATAACTATAGAAATACTTTAATAACAATGCTTTTTATTGTATTTGTACTTTAAAATGCATTTTAATTTACTACCATACTGTTTATTACCTCTTCTAATGAGGTGTAAACGGTGTAAATCGTGCGAATCAATTGTGTGTCGACGTGACGGTCACAATGACCAGCGATGACTGACGCTCTAATTATTCAGTGATGCAATAATATAGAAAAACATACAAAAAAAAATAACAGTAAAATACTTAGATGAAACTTACCATTTTTTTCAGGATACGACTGGACATTGCTCCCGGTGACTGCAAGAGCCGGTGGACGAAGAAATGCACACGTAAAGCGACCAATGAATGCTTTTATGGTATGGGCACAAGCTGCAAGACGAAGACTCGCTGATCAATATCCACAACTTCACAATGCTGAATTATCAAAAACTTTGGGACGATTATGGAGGTGATAAATGTTTTATTCTCCATTGTTTTTTTGCTGTTAAAAAGGGAAAAAACTCTCATTCACTTTAGGTATTCTTAAAGGCCAATGTCCGATTATGGCGCGCGAACGTTGCGCCTGCGCACACAGTGGCTCATTTTGTCAGCCAATGAAATAGTGGCGCGAATTTCAAATTCTTTAGAAATAGAAAATTTGCCCCTTTTTCATTGGCTGTATTTGTGTGTTCTTAAAGTACCGCGTCTGCGCAGAATGGTATCTTTCTTTACTGAAAAATGCCGCGAAAAAATAAAATATAATACAATAAATATATTTTTCACGGGAATAATTATATTAAATTGTCACAAATATTTCATTTAATATTTTCTTGATTTTTCACCGATATCTAAATTTAATTAAATATTTAAATATTTATAAATAATTTTTGAAAGATACTAAATTTTTGAATTACCTATATAATAAATCAAAAAATTTTAAATTTAATTAAAGTTAAGTAAAATCTTTCGAAAATAATTTAAATTTTTGGAAAACAGAAGAAATAATAATCAGGTTTTTGAAAAGACTTAATTCAAATTTGAAAGTACATATAGTTTCTTATAATTTAATAATAATAATGGAATAATTATATTTTAATAATAATTGATTAATTAAGTAATTAAATAATAATAATTGATTAATTAAATAATTGAATATAATTGAATATTAAAAAAATAAGACAAAAAACTACAATAAAACTTAGTATTTTAAAAATATAATACAATTTTTCAAAATTAATTGAATTTCTTAAAAAGAAATTTGTGACAATTTAAAAAACTAATCGATGTTTTGAAGAGTTTCAATTAAAAATTTTGAAAATGAATCTTTCCTTAAAAATTTTAATAATTGTAAAAAGTTCAAATTTAAAAAAAAATTAATGTGCAATTATTTTTTGAAAAATACTTGAATTTTCGGAAAAATGTCATTAAAAATATTGAAAGTAATTGAATTTAAAAAAACAGAATGGAAAATTTCTAAGAATTGCTTTTTTAAAACTAATTTAATATAATTCTTTGAAGCTAATTTTCATTAATTTTCATTTGAAGATTTTTTATTACATATTTTGAGAATTTAATTATTTTTAAAAAATGCTATATGAAAATTCTTCAAAATTTGTTTTTCAAAAGTATTATTAAAAAATATAAAAAAAGTCAATTATTTTCAATAATATTTTACTAAATTGCAATTAATTAAAATTTTTTTTTAATATATATTTCAAAAATAAATTGAATTCCTGCAACGAATTTTATTATTCATGAAAGAAGTTAAATATTTATATTTTACAAAAATAATTGAATTCTTGTGGAAAACTTTATTTCTGAAAATAATTGAATTTTTCGATTTTTATTAAATATTGAATTGAATTCTTACGAAGATTTTTCAAACAAAATTTTTTTAATAAACTGAATTTTCATAAAAAATGTTATTATTAATAAAAAAAATCTTTTTCAAAAATTTGGTTAATTAGTAAAATAAGTAATAAACGAATAACTATCACAAATGTAATAAACTTCACATTATTATTTGTGAAAATAATAAAATTAAAAATATTCTAACAGTTTCAATTATTTCGAAGAAAATTTAAATTCTTTGGAGAAAATTAATTAAAATTGTATGGAAATTATCATTATGTATTCTTCTTAAGAATTTTATCAAATCATTTGTGAAAATAATAAAATTAAAAATATTATAACAGTTTCAATATTATATCGAAGAAAATTTAAATTTTTTGGGAAAAATTAATTAAAATTGTAGATACTAAAATTATAATTGTATTCTTCTAAAGAATTTTATCAAGACTTTTCGAAATAATTGAATTCTTTTTAAGGAATCTTATTGAAATTTTTAAAAGTAATTGAATTTTTTCGACATATGTTATTAAAATTGTATCGAAAATAATTGAATTCCTTTGACGAATATTATTATTTATGGAAATAATTGAATTCCTTTGACGAATATCATTATTTATGGAAATAATTGAATTCCTTTGACGAATATCATTATTTATGGAAATAATTGAATTCTTGACAAGAATTTTATTATCTATTAAAATTATTGACAATTATTATAAATCTCATACCTTTTTAAATGTGTTTAAAGGATTCTGAGTGATGTGGAAAAGCAGCCTTTCATAGACGAAGCTGAGCGATTACGCAATGCACACAAGCAACTTCATCCTCACTATAAGGTGAAATTCTCATCTGAAAATAAAAAAAGAAAATTTATTAATAAAAGTCATACAATTTCTTACAATGTTAACAAATTTACTTTAAACAATCATTTCAGAATTAATAACTAATTATCCTAATTATCAATAATTCATATTAGCAATTAATAATTATAATTAAAATTAAACAATTAGAATTAATATTAATTAATATTAAAATTAAACAATTAGAATTAATTACTATCAAAATATTACAATTTATCAGAAATATAATATAAAATAAAAAAAAAAGGAAAAAAATACTGATTTAAAAAATAGTTAGAAGCAAAAAACAATGACTTAGAAAAAAGACATAATTTTGTAAAAATTATAAATAAAAAAAATGCTTGAAAATTACAGTATCAGCCACGCAGAAGGAAACCAAAGCCAGATGATCAAGTAAGCATTTTGACTCATCGTAGTTCTTTGCCCCTCACAACATTAGAATCTGCCAGCTCATCCAACTGCAGTTATAGTCGACTCTATTCTGAAAGTTCAAAAACAAATCCCAGGTATCAGCCTTACGATAGATCCATCGTTTCATACAATGATTCAACATCAAAATCATATCCCGATGCAATCAAATGTCCAATTGATCATTACAGTAAACCATATGAATTGACGGAGAAAAATTATTCCGATCCAAAATATTTGGAATCAACGTCAATAAAATCACTTGAAAATGGTGTTAAATATACAGATGTCCAATCAAAAACTTATGATCTCTCGAGAAATTATGAACTGCCAAAATATCCTGAAACAAAAACATATCCTGAGAATTTAAAATTTTCCGAAACAATAACAACAGCAACTACCACCGCCACCACCAAACCCTATGCTTATGTTCACGGTCAATATTATCCTGCACCTGAAGGCTATCCTGTTCATGATGAAAGTGATTATCAACCACAAACGGTACCGACTCATTCGTTTTATCCTTATATTTCACCTTCAATGACGCAACCACCTTATTATATGGGTCCTCGATGCTAATTTTTTATTTGCATTTTCTGTGTACAGAGAAAAATTCCTGTTTAGAAAAGAAAAAAATATTATTTCTTCAAAATTCATTTAGACAAATTTTAAATAATTTTTATCAATCTAAAATTATTTTTACAATATTTAAGAATTCTTTTCAAATTCTACTGTTAGATTTTTTATTTGTTAATTTTAATATTTAAATATTAGAATTTCCATATATATATTTGTACGTCATCAAATTGCATAATGCCGACATTAAATTTTGCCAATTATTTAAAAATGAAAAAAAATTATCAATTTTTTACATTATAATTTATCTACATTGTACGTTAATTTAGGAATTGTTTGAAAAATTGTGATTGTACCTTGTAAACAATTAAATTTTTTTTTAAAATAGTACTTAATAAAAATACTTCTTCGACTATATTGTTAAGTATACGAATATTTATGAAATTAATTTAATTGATATTTATTAAAGCGAAACTAAAACAAACGTTGAATTTTTATTCATTAAATCAAAACAAAAATCCTTGAATTATAGTTATAAATTAAATGTTTGAAAATAAGAAAAAAATTTATAAAATAAGTAAATACATACAAATATTCAAATAACTAAGTTTTTCAGAATTTTTAAATTTAAATTATTCAAAACTTGAACAATTTTTGTTAAATAAATATTTAAATACTAACTGTTATTTATTTTTCCACACGGAAATAAAATTTTTTCATAATTTCAATGTAAAACCTTTTGAAATTTAACTGTTTCTAAAAATTATAATTCTAAAATACAATTATTGTTTAAATTTTTAAATCAAATCATTCAAAAATAGAATATAATAAAAAAAAAATAAAAAATAAAAAATAAAAAATAATAATAATAATAATTTTTTTTTTTTTTTTTTTTTTTAGTTAATTTATAATCATAAACTTTAAAAAGAATCGAAACAGTTCAATTAACTGGTCATTGAAAAAAAAATGATGTCTTCTAAAAAAATACAATAACAACAAAATAATTATCAACAATTAAATAATGATTGAACGACAATTAGAAATAAAAGTAAACTTTTCTATTGAAAAACAATTATTATTCCTATCAATAAATATAAACTTATTTTGAAGATTTTTCTTTTTATTATATATATATTACCGAAAACTTCTGTGCTACTCGTATATATTTTTATACAAAACGTAAGAGATTTTTTATTCCCAAATTAAAACAATTAATCATGAACATTCATTTCTTTCATATATTAAAAACTATACATTTTAAAAAAAAAGATTCGAACAAAAATCAAAAATGGCACCCAAATTTAAACTTATATATAATATTTTCAATACATTATAATAATTATTATATTTTTCTTATTTCATCATAAGAAAAATGTATTGTCAATGGCTATAAAATAAAACCTATTATTCTTTTACGAAGAGAAAAATATTTGTGCTTGTATCAATAAAACAAAAATAGTTTTTCATCATTCAATAGATAATAAATAATGCAAATAACGATTCTTTCTTTCGTTATTTTATCAATAATACCTAAATTATTAAATGTTTAAAAAGATTTCTTTAGAATCGTGAGATTTGTTTATAGGAATAATTTATATTCTAGGAGAATTTAATTTTTAGTGATAGTAGTAAAAAACACTTTTCGAGATTTTTTCGAGCTGATTTTTTACAAAAGCGTGCTCATTTATGGATTGTAAAGTTAAAATAATTGTTTCATATTTCAGTGAATTATGAATTTTAGATGAAATTGAGATCAAAACTGATTTATAAAATAATCTAAATTATTTTTTTTTTAATTAATTGGACTCGTAAATACTAATTGGTGAATGTCAACAGTATTCAGTATTTCAATTAACTAAGATTTAATAAAATTATTTCTTTATAAGTTATTTTTAGATTATTAATTATTAACAATAGATTATTAATATAATAACTAATTTAACAAATATTATAATATTAAATGATCCACAAGTTCCGAAGTTTGTCAATATAAATATTTTCCAAAATTACTGACTTACAACTAGAGAAAAAAACAGAATCTATTATTTTTTTTAAATATTTAGCGCAATATTATTTGCAATAAAATTTGAAAAAATAAATAAATTTGATTTGATTGTTCGAAACTTTTGGGAACATAATATTAAAATATATGTATTATATATTACAGAATAATTAATTGTACAATAATTAATAATTAATAAGTTCGAAGAAAAAATCAGATAAAATCAATTAGTTTAATTTTTTTTCGTGTATTATGTGCTTGAATTCGAAATTCGTAAATTATGTAATCTTCATGATAGTAAAGTATGAAAGCATTTTAATATCTAGTAAAAGAAATCTTTGGGCATTTATCAATTATTTGAATAATTATTAAACTATTGAACCTGATTGTTTAAAAAATGTTCACTATGCAGCAGGCAATCAAAAGGTGCCTTGAGCCATTGAATTCATGACGGCGGCTAATTCTTTAATTTGATCCCTATTAGCGTGCATAAAGGCCTTAGCAGTCCATATCATTTCAGCTAAAACAACATCACTTTTCTCATCCATGGCAACTTCCTTCGTCAATTGTGGATTGAAACGATAATAAGGAACTCCAATCATCGAACACCAAGTTCTCGCACGATCAACAACTCGTCCATCGCTCGATGTTGCTTGATCAACCAGCAAATGTCCAAGCGTTGAAACACCCATTGCCAATTTCGCCGCATCCCACAGACCTTCCGGTTTGAAGACATCAATTTCCGTCAATGGCGTCACTGGTATTAATCCAGTTCCAATTGAAACCACCACCGATAATGGAACAACCTCATCATCCCTGCCAGTCGCTTTCAATGCCAAATTATACTCATAAATTTCCGTCATTGCATCGAGTGTTGGATTATTAGCAATTAATCCACCGTCCAAAAATCTTCCAAAAGCCCTAAAGTACGATGGCGCAGCTCCCGTGGCTCTTGCCGCTTTCCACAATAATTGCTCCTTCGGTTCAAGTGTCTCCTTAAAGTCAGAACTAGTCGGAACGTTCATCATTATACTCGGCGACATATAATTACGAAACAAATGTAAATCCACCGGTTTACGATCGGCAAGAACGCCAGTGATCATCACCTTTAAACCGTTGATATCCGTCATGACTCGTTCAGCACCAAGGCATTCTTTAAGAATTTTCTCAAAAGGCTCACTATTATAAGGTCTCATACCAACGAACGCCTCCTCCTTCAAACGAAAATAGAGAGCTTGACATTCCCTCAAACTCTTTCCAGCAGCCAAACCAAGCGCCAAAATTCCACCCGTCGACGTACCAGCGATCCAATCAAAATAAGCCACAATCGGTTTACCCAGCACCGATTCCACCTCAAGGAGAGTTTGCACAAGGACCAAACCACGAATCCCTCCACCATCAAGGCACAATAATCTTCCACCCCTCAATGGCGTTCGTTTCTTAGACGCCAATTTCTCCATACTCGCAACGTACAACATTTGATCTAAAACTGTACGCGGAACCGCAGTCGGTGGTTCCGGTGGTGCGACTCCATTATAATCCTCATCATATTTACAACCATTGTGACAACCAAATGTATTTTTCTCACAACGCTCAGCGCCCACCGCATCGAGAATGTATAAAATTTTACTCCCATCATTACTATCGACTTTCACCAGATGACGTGGTGTTTGTTTGAGCCAATTTTTCGCATTTAAATCAGCCATGAAACCAATGAGAATTTGAACAATTGCTGGTGTTGCTTCGGTGACGGCAATATGTAACGGAGTGTTACCCTCGTCGTCGGTGATATTAACGTTAGCCAAATGACTCAATAGAGCAACGACACATTCTAATCTTTTTCTTTGCACCATAATGTGTAATGCAGTGCGACCGTGAAAATTCAGTGCATCGATATCGCAATTTTTTTCAATCAAGGCATTAATTACTTCTCGACTCACTGACCAATGTAAAGGTGTACCGCCAAATTTCATATCCTCTGGATAGAGAACATTAGGCTTTTTGTGAAGAAAATCACCGACATAACCGGGACTCGATGGCTGACCTTCGGAAGCGGGAATATTCACATCGGCTCCAATTAATAAAAGAGCTTTCACACATTCTGGTTTGTCGCTACGACAAGCAACGTGCATTGGCGTATGTCCCTCGTTATTTTTACTATTTAATGTATTAGGAAGACCTGAACCCAATGCGGTTATAATATCTTTCGCTGACGATGCTGCATAATGATAGACCGTATTTCGATTGTTGTCCAAATGTTCAAGAGAGCTTTTTGCGTCGATTAGCATTTGTACGATTTTTAAATTATTTGTCTGTATGGCTACCTGAAGGGGTGAAACTCCTGATTCTGGATCGCTGCTGTTCAACTGACTGTTTACAATGTCATGTGAGAAGGCTTCGTAGAGTAATAGATGGGCTGACAAATGGGCCAAATTCCAAGTTGGATGCTCCACCAGTGTGCTGCATAACCTCTGAATTTTTCCTGTATTGCTCAACTGAAAATAAAAACAGAAAATTATTTATTACAATCCTATTCTTCTGATCTTTCACTGATTTCTAAATTTAATTATGTAAAACTTGAATAATTACGTTAAATAAATATTCAAAAACTTCTTGTTTATTTTTATACGGGAATAAAATTTTTAAAATGTCTATTTAAAACCTTCTGAAATTTAATAACTTCTAAAAATTATAACTTTAATTCTCTTAAAATTCAATTATTTTCTACAATTTTTAATCAAACGTCTTCTCAAAATCAATTATTTTTAATAATTTTCCGAAATTTCTTAGAGAATTCAATTATTTAAATACAACTAAGAATGTTTTCAGGACCTTAATTTTTGTCAAATAAATCTGTTTATATTGTGACCACAATATAAACAGATTCATTATTTAAATACAAAAATTCAGTTCTTTATAATGATTCTAACTCTCCATGTTTTTTAAGTTATTAATTAATTTTAAAAAAATTATATTAAAGAAATTCTTAAAATTAATTTTTCAAAATTATTTTTAAAATAATTTATAAAAGATAATAGTTTTTCAATCATATAGAATTGAAAAATTTCCAAACAATTGCAATTTGGTAAATTCTATTAAAAAAATAATTGAATTTTTAAAGAATTTTAATTATTAATATAAACGCGATTTCTTCAAAATTTTAATAAATCTAAAAAAGTCATATGTTGTTAAAATGTAAAAAAATAATTTGTAAAAAATTTTAATATTATTTTTTGTATGTATTTCAATTTTTGGAAATTTGTATTTGAAAATATTGAAAATAATTGAATTTTAAAAAATTAGAATGCAAAAAATTCTAAGAATTACTTTTTTCAAAAATATTTCAATATAATTTTTATGAAGCTAATTTTCATTAATTACCATTTTTAAATTTAAACTTGAAGATTTTTCATTAAAATTTTTGAGAAATCAATTATTTTTAAAATTTACAATTAAAATTCTTTTAAAGTTTATTTTCAAAATTTTGTATTAAACACTTTAAAAAAAATCAATTATTTTCAATTTGATTTTACAAAATTTCAATTATTGAAACTCTTTTTTATTGTAAATTTTGAAAATTTATTTATTATTTAATATTTATAAAAATAGAATGAATTGTTTCGAAGAAATTATTAAAATTTTAGAAAATAATTAAATTTTATAGAAATATTTGGAAATATTTGAATTCTTCTGAGAAATTCAATTAAAGATGTTTTGAAAATAATTGAATTTCTAAAAAGAATTTTACTATTTATAAAAATAATTGAATTCTTGCGAAGAATTTTAGCAAACATTAAAACATTAAATTGTTTTCAAATTTAATTTCACAAAATTCTAAAAAAATACCAATAAATAATTATTAATATTAAAAAAATTTGAATCAAAATTTTTTACAGAATTAAATTGTTTAGAATTTTCAATTAAAATTGTATTCAAAATTCAAATCTTCAAAAAAATCCATTTTGGAACCTTTTGAAATCTAATTATTTCTAAAAATTTCTATTATAATTTTTCTAATATTCAATAATTTTCAAGAATTTTTTACCCAGATTCTTTTCTAAATCAATTATTTTTAATAAATTTTTTGAGAATTGAATTATTCAAAAAATAAAACTGAAAGTTTACTTAAAATACAATTTAAAATTAAATTGTTTTCAATTTAATTTTACAGAATTTTGATTAATCAAAAAAATTTTAATTGAATATAAGTTCAAAATTTTCAAAAAATTACTAATAAATAAATAATTACTATTAAAAAATTTGATTCCAAATTTTTCACAGAACTAAATTGATTCGAATTTTTAAGTGAAATGTGGAAAATTCAAGGGTAATTTACGTTTTCAAATATTTTCAAAGTTCACCAAGTACTTGATTTTTTGCAACAAAAAAATAAATAAATAAAAATTAAGTCAATTTAAAAAAAATGATTCGACTGTAGTTATTTTCCACACTTTATAAATCGAAACAACAATCATTTTATACCAATAAAGTAGAAAAAGTCGGATTTTGTAAAATAGTAAAAAAAAGTCATATTTCGAGACCTGTAATAGTTCAATAACAAATTATGATTTAAAATAAAAATTTTTTTATAGTTACCTCTCTGCACAACTGCACCAGAATTGGAACTTTATCCTTGAAAATAAGAAATCGTGTCTCCGTAATTTCCAGATTTTGCGAACGAAAGAGACTGTAGTATTCCACAAGAAAATACATGAAAATAAAAATATTAATTAGACACGATTTCGGAAAATTTCAAATAGTTTCTAATATTCTAAAAATACTTTCTAAATATAGATAAAAAAATAATACATAAATCGAAAAAGCAAATTATAACAATTACTTAAATAACAAGGAATTATTTATTCTTATCAAAAAAAGTTAGATAACGCAGTTAATTTACAACCTCAAGGTTAATATTTAAATGTATTTTATTTTACAACAAAAGATATTTTAAACATAAAAATTAACAATGTTACAAACTACTATTCAATTCTTTTTCAAACAAACGAACTTTTTGTTTCTAAAACAAGAGATAAATTTACATTTTTTTTTATATTGCACTTTTTTATTAGAAAAAAAGAAAAATAATTGAATAATTAATGCCAAGACATACAAGTTACAAGTTGTGATAATAATGTATTCAAATTTTCCGGAATTAATTTTTTCGAGAGATAGACACAAAGAAGGATAATTAATTTTCCTATCACTATATACTTATCTAATATTTAAATATTATAAAACAGATAAGACACGACATTTAATTAAATCTTATTTAAATTTATCAAAATGAATTTTCATGTATAGGAAAAATTATTTTAAAAATTAAAAAAGTAAACAAAACTATTGTAAACTATTGTGACAAAATATAGAAATAAAAATATAAAACATACCTATAAGCTTGATGTAATGTCTCGGTACAAGGTCTATGAAGAACAATTTCATATTTTTCCTTATATTTTTCTCCAGGATCGTATAAAACAACTCCATCCTCTCGAGCATGTACTTGACGACTTCCGTACTGATCAGATCTAACCTCTAAAACAACATCTTCGGCAGTTTCGACGAATACATTTCGCAGCATATTGCTGGCAATATTCCCCAGCCACGCCATTGTTGTTAAAGTGAATATTTAGAATGACTGATAAACTATAAACGTCAATGCGATCACAAAAAAAATAAAGCAATCAACAAGACACGACAGTAATTTGCATATTCAACAAAGACCGCTTTATAAAGAGGCAAAAATGTTTGCACGTTACTTGTTCATTCAATATTTACAATAAACATGATTTAATAAATTAAAAAACAAGTGAGGAAAACTTTTATAACAGAATAGTTAAACTTTAAACACACATATTTAGACTTTAAAGGAAAGAAATGTGAAAAAAATGTGACATCACTTGGATCAATGACAGACCGCCAATTTTCAATATATATGTGTCAGCTGATTGTTTACAGCGCCATCTTTAAACTCTGTCGGTAAAATAGAAAAGTTCCTAATCGATCGAAAAGACAACTGTCAAAATAGTAAACAAACAAAAACTTTTAAGTTTGTTTATAGTTTAGTGTTTATAAAGTGTGTAAATAAATATAAATTTAATTATTTTTTTATATAGGGACTGAGAATATAATTCTAATATAGAGATATCTTTATTTTAAGATAAACTTTTAATTCATAAATTTTAAAGTAAAAACAAATATTAAAAAAATATAACCTAAAACTATTTTAATAATTTGAATATTTCGAATAATTTCAAAGAATATAATTGAAATAAAAGTCAAATTTATATTCTTATAAAAATGCCTCTATTTTCATCTAAATTTTCACCTAAAAAAACTCCATCAAGAAAGGCTCCCATATCATTATCAAATACAGATCTCAGTCCCCAGAGGTTGGAAAAAGAATTAGGACCTGAGGTTGGGCCCATTAGAATTTGCTTGGGAGAAATGCAGGCAGTTTTTGAAAATGGAGTATGGATTCCTGGTGAGAATATCTATTTTCTTTAAAAAAAAAATTTAATTTTCCAAATTTTAAAACTCAAATTTTCATTTAATATCACAGACTTCGCACTCAATAAAAACTTCAATTATTTTCCAAACTTTTAGAATTAAAAATTTTTAAATTCTTCAAAAATTCGATTATAGGTTCAAAATTATTATAACTGTAATTTATTTTTAAATTAATTCTTATTCGAAAGTTCTACAAGAATTCAATTATTTAAATACAAAAATTAATAATTGATAGAATACCTGATTGTTTCTTAAAATTGAATACTTAAAAAGAATTTTATCAAAATTTTAAAAATTAATCAATTTCTTTCAAAGAATTTTATGAAAATACTTAAATAATTAATTTCTTTAGAAAAAATTTCTTGAAAATTGTATTTCAAAAATTTTGGTTTTATATTATTTGTATTTGAATTATAAGAATGATTTCAAAGAGTTTCATTAAAATTGTATTGGAAATAATTGAATTCTTGAGAGGAATTCAATTATTTTAAAAACTTTTGATTTTATATTATTTTTATTTGAATTATTAGAATGGTTAAATTAAAATTGTATTGAAAATAATTGAATTCCTCTGAATAATTTTATTATTTATGAAAGTAATTGAATTCTTAAGAGGAATTCAATTATTGTCAATACAATTTTAATTCAATTCTTTGAAATCATTTAATTATGTTCAACAATTTTATTTTAAATTGTTTTTATTTGAATTAATTCAAAGAATTTTATAAAAAATTTATTTAATTTTTTCTAAGAAAATTTCTTTATTCCAACTACTAGTGAATTTAATAAAAATTCTCAGAAATAGGAAAAAGTAGCTTTTAGTATTACAAATTTAAAGAAAGTATTTAAGTAGTAGCTAATCGTAAGAAAAGTAGTAAATAGTTTTAGTAGATGAGTGCGAAGCCTGATATCAATTTAATAATTAAACAATCATTTAATATCAATTCTATGAATTATAGAATCGGGAGAGATCGGAGGTACTTTTAAGGAAAATGAAACGTTAAAAAAAGAAATACAACAATTAGAAGAAGAAAATAATTTGCTGAAACTAAAATTTGAAATTGTATTAGACATGGTAAAAATAATTTTTGAAAACTGCACATTTAAGCACTCAAAAAATAAGCACTTTAATAAATATTTTGCAGTGCACTAAATAAAATTTTAAAGAATTTTGCACCAAATAGAAAGGAAAAAAAACTAAGTGGACAAATTTTATTATTTTCAGTTAACGGAAGCAACAGCAGAAAGTAATTTAGATAAAGAAGAACTTGAAAAACTAAAGAGTCAATTATCCACTAAACGTTCTAGTGCTTAAATTATTAAATTTTAATAAAGAAAAAATATCGAAACTCTTTTAAAAAATTAATAGGACAGTCAATTATTATATTTTAAATACTTTATTACGAAAATAAAAAGAGGTACTTTCACTTTTACTATATACAGTATACGCACATTATTAATATCAACAAGAAAAAATTCAGAATCATTGTATCTTAATGAAAAATTGAATGAATTTGAATTATTTTGTAATATTTTACTTTAAAGTAAATATTTCTTATCGATAAAGAATTAAAAATTTTAACTGTTTAAACGATAGTTAAAAGTATTATTCCTAATTTATATAAGGCACAAAATCGTTTTAAATGTATGTATGTCTTTTTACCTAATCACAAAGATTATTATGCTTATTATTTCTGTATTTTAATAAAACTTGTCTGTATCACTTGATTATCAAAAATTCAATTAATATTTTTACTTATAAAGTATTTAAAAAAAAAGAAAACAAAACTGTAATGTACCTTTTGTAACACTTCAATCTCTTGCATTTCGAGGACATGTTTTCTTCGTATGACCTGTAACAAAATGAAAAGAAAGAAAAATAATGTATTTTTTATACTAATAAATAAATAAATTTAATGAAAATGAAATTAAAAATTAATTAATTAAATTTTTTGATTGAATGAAGTATTATTGGATATTTAAAATTATCGTACCTTCAGTTCCACAAACTCCACATTTTCTTTTAGCTCCAGGTGCTCGAGGTTTCCTCGGCGCACCTCCACCTCTTCCTCGTCCTCTTACCGAAGATGATTCTCCCCATTCACCACCACCACCTCTGTTGCCCCAATTTCCTCCTCCATCGCCGCCTCCATCATCATCACCTCCATAATTCGTATTTGTATTCGTTTCGTCGGCCCATTGGAAAAATTTACAAGAACTTTGCATTCCTTTCGGACATGCATAGAATTGTCGTCCTTTATTCGGTCCCTCCTTCTGTACTGTTAATCTACAAGTAAAATTTTTACATAAAAAGAAATTTCGTTTTTAATAAAATATCAAGGTTGGCAAAAAAATTCGATTTTTAATTCAATTATTATAATAATAATTTAATTATTTTCAATTCAATTTCACGAAATTTCAATTAATTTGATAATTCGTTAATAAATTATTTTAAAACATATTCAAGTACTTTTAAATAATTGATTAAAATTTCTCAGATACATATTTTTTTCAGAATTTTAAATAAAGTTATTTAAGACTTAAATAATTAAATAATATTTTGAGTAAATATTTAATTATTATTTCTTCAAAATAATTGAAATTTTTAAGAACATTTTGTTTAAAATCTTTTGAAATTTAATAACATGGATAACTTACTTTTTAGCTGGTTGACCACAAGTACAATTAACATTGTCACCAGATGCATTAAAATTACTATTGTTCGACCAATTTGTCGAAGGGCCTGGTGCATTGTAATTATTTCGCCAATCATTTTGTCTATTTTGATTACTATTACTATTATTAGCATTTCTAGGAGGTGGAGGTGGAGGTTGAGCCCCAGTGCTATTATTTCCATCGCTAGATGCCCACATAAAATAATCACAACCAGATCCTTGTGGTTTGGCACACTTGAAAAATTGTCGACCTATTATAAACAGAAATTTAAATTAATTGTGACTCCACACAAAGAAAAGGATCAAGATTGCAAATCCCTTTCTTCGTGTCGCTTCATGAATTATAAATTAATTACAGATCGATATTATGTTAAAATTAATAAACTTTTTTAAATACCTTGATTCACTCCTTCCTTTCTTACAGTTAGTTGAACAGCAGGACTGTGACAATTACATAAAATTGAAGAACCATCATCAAGATTTCCCCAAGTTGTTGTACTATTATTTAAATTGCTATTTGCGTTGGATGCGACCATTCCGACGTTTGTTCTTGGTTCTTGATTATTTCGATTACTCTGACTTGGCCGTACATTTTGCTGTCGCATATTATTGGTTTGGCGAATTTGAGCTGTATTATTTTGATTCGATCTCGGTTGTTGTGACATAAATCGTGAATTATTCGTATTGCTATTGGTGGTATTATTTCCCTGACTAGCTGAATTAATTTGATGATTTCTTTGCGTACTACTGGAACTTTGATTATTTCTTTGTGTACTACTGGAACTTTGATTATTACTACTACTATAACCTGAGTCATTTGGCCGTCCGGTATTTCGAACATTGTTTAATTTGATCTCCATATTATCGTTGAATATCTCGTCACAACCACCGATACATGTCGTGTACTCTATACCATAACGTGGCATTGCACCCGATTTGAATTTAAATTTCAATTTGTGCATTCCTCCTGGACACTGGAAATTTATATTTAGTTATTAATAATTTTTGATAGTGAAAAATTTTTATTTCCCAAAAATTGTCTCTACTTACTTGATTGCATAATTCGTCTAGAACTTGGACATTTTCAACGGCCAAAGGTAACCAGATAGCGTTACTACAATTCGGAAAATTCATACAACTTATGTATTTTCCTTCTTGATTTCTTCGATCTTTCATTGTCATGTCAAAACCACATCTGGGACATTTCAAAATTGTGGGATTCATCACAACATTTGCAATTTCAACGTCAGGTGTGGCCACTGGAACATCATTGAGATATTCAGCGAGAGAAGTATCAATTAAATTGGCACGTTCCAAAGCGATTTTAAAAACGTCTCGATATTTATCAACTTGCCGCGTGAGAACATCGTTTGGATTCTTTTGACCCTCGCATATTCTGCGAAAAAGAAATTAAATTAAAAAAAATATTAATTATATTTGAATCGGAATATCATAAAATAAAAAAACAAGAAATAAAAAAAGGATTAAGAACAATAGAAAAAACTTACAATTTCAAATCATTTTCAAGTTCAGCTCTGAGATTTGGTTTGGACATTTGAAAGCCCATTCTGTCATAGCCCATCACAAGGCCAATACCCAATTTTCCGGGCATGAAATGTTGATTATTCGTTAGACCAACGTATTCTCGTTTTTTTATTGTTTCAATATGTTCAGCATGCGTTGCATCGGTTCCAATTCCATGTTTATCCATTAAGGCAATTAAATCGGCTTCGGTCAATAAACTAGGCGGTGATGTTGTCTCCTCTGGCATTTCAATACTAGTTGGACAAAAAGTTTGTCCCTGTTCATACAAATGAATCTCTTTGGCATTCCATTTTTCATAAACATACACATCTAAATAGTTTTTTGCAATAATTTGCAAACCATTGGCGACAAATTTCTCTCCGGCAATGTCAATGTCAACAATTGTCTCTTGACCCTCGGCATTTTTTGCAACACACGCGAGAAAATGTCTCACAACAAACTCATAAACTTTTGCCTCGTTTCCTAAATTTTAAACATTTTAATCAAATGTGACTATAGAAAAAAGGTACCGTAAAAGACAAAAAAAAAAAAAAAATACTCACCATGGAGACCATTAGTAAATTTAATTGGATGAATCGGTGGATGGGCTTGATCACTCTTTTTCCCCTGTCTAGGATTAATTCCATCTTGTAACACTCGCTGAGCAAAATCTCCCCAATTTCCGCTCTCTGTCTGTTGTTGTACAAGTGGCTGTAAATTTAATTCCTTGGGAAATATATTTGTCTCAGTACGGGGATAACTAATGAAACCCTGAGTGTAAAGTTTCTCTGCAGCTTGCATTGTCTCCTTTGCGCTGAGTCGAAGTTTTCGAGAGCCCAATTTTTCGAGTTCCTTAATAAACATTACGATTTGATTCATAAAACAATAATTTAACATTATGGAATAAAATAAAACAGTACGAAAATAAATGTACAAAAAGAAACAAAAACAGGGTTGCCACAAAAAATTAATTTTCTTTTTCCCTGATTTCCAGACAAAATTTTCAATTTTTCCCTGACCCTAAAGAGTATTCTGATTCACTCTAAAAAAATGATTAGATACTCAAAAAACTGTTCTATTACATATATTTACGAATTTTTTTAATTGTAAAATTATTCGAAAACATCAATAAATTCTTTTTTTAAATAAATATTTAATCATTATTATAAATTTTTGATAATAATTGAATTTTGGAGAAGAATTTTATTATTTTTAAAAATAATTGAAATTTTGACGAGAATTTAAAAAAATGTTTGAACATAATTGAATTTCTGCGAAGAATTTTATTACTTTTGAAAATAATTGAATTTCTGCAATCATTTGTAACTTTTCAAAAATTAAATTTTTTCCAGTACTTTAATGAAAATCCCTGACTTTTTCCAGATTTCCCTGACCAATTCTACTTTCCCTGACTTTTCCCTGAATTTCCTGACCTGTGTCAACCCTGAAAAAATACCAAAAAAAAAAACAAATACATACAACAGTGTCCAATGGTAATGGTCTCCACTTGCTTTTCGGTTTACTCGTTACTTTTTCGACAGTTGCCAAAGGATTTTCCTGACACATCTCAAAAAGAACTTGGCAAGGTAATTTTTCAAAAAGTCTATTTCGCCCCCATCTGAATTCAACGTAAAGATCATTTCGCTCATCCACCACTTTTATTTTCCAGTAAGGTTCCGGTTGAAATCGTTCAATCGCAAGGAATCTTTCCACAACGAAGCCAAGAGTTGGAAATTGACAACTTCCATAGCTAATTAACATGTCAGCTAATTTTTGCGGAAAGACTTTTTGAAGTCGTAATGTTTGAAATCTAGTGAATGCCGCTCCTAGACAAGTATATTACGTAATTAGAAATTAAAAAAAAAAATAGGAGAAAAACCGAAAGAAATTTTTTTTTTACCTATTCGTAAATCTAATTCACTTCTCACGTCAACAGCATCACTGACTGCTTTATTTGGCTCACCGAGAGTTGCAAGAGCCCTGTTTATCGACTGATTCGTAATTTCAGAAAATTTCGCTCTGTAAATTAAGTAAATGAATAATTTCTCCCTTTATAGTATTTAAAGTAGAATTTTAGTAATTATGAATTATATTTACCTGTAAACGGAAATATTCGGTTTGATGGCAGTGCATACTTTAATTATTTCAAATCCTATATTCTCTCCCTCTCTATCACAATCCGTCCAAATAATTAATGCATTACAACTTCTCACTTCTCTCTCCAATGTTTGTTTAATTTTGGTAAAGTCTTCGGGACATTGTTTAACAACAGGAGCTTCGAATAAACTTAAAGGATGACAACCGTGCCATTTTCGATAAGGTCCCACAAATTCGTAAGTTAATAAATGTCCCGAAACCGATGTCATCAGCATTTGACAATTTTGATTCCATAATTGTGTATTGAATTCGTAGATCTTATTAAATTTTGATAAACCCTCTCTCTGGAAAAATAGAATCTTTATTCTTTTGATGTCAGAAAAAAATAGGAAATCATTTACAAATTCATATAAATAGAAATTTGAATTAATTTGTACAATAAAATAAATAATGTAAACAATTCAAACTTACCCATCGACTACCACCACGAGAAATGCAATTTGCTATGTTTTTCGCAGCATCATTTTTCTCAGCAACATTAAGAACCTTCATGACTTTTTGATCTTCTTGACGATTCAATGTTGAAGTAAAACAAATAAAATACCGTTTTTCATTAATCCTTTTTTGCCCATTAAGCAATAATCTTGAAAACTGTGAAAGAGGTATCATTAAAAATTATTCTTTTCACAGTTTTGAGGTTATAAATTCTTACATTATGAAAATTTGAAAACTAATGTAAATATTAATTCCTCATGGAATTGGGAAAATTCTTATTAACTTCATTAGTTAAAAACTGATGTATTTTACGAAATATTAATACTTTAGCACGTGTATGATTCTGTTTGACAGTTAAAAATACTTCACAACTTTTTTTATCAATAGCGTTTTTGTTTGAACTCGCTTGTAAGAATTAACTATAAACAGTAATATTAATTTGTTAACAAAGCTTTTAGATACATTTAAAAACACATCACAAAATAAATAAAAAATTATAAACGACATAAACATTCAAGCTTCCAACGAACGGCGGCAAAATAAATTTAAACATAAACATAACCAAACAAATTTTCTTTCACTGTTTTCACTTGCTCAGTTGGTATATAAATTAACATAGATTTTAATCTTACCGACTGTACTACTCTTGCGATTCCTTAAGGCATGTTTACAATTTTACGAATTCAACGAAGTCAACTCATTTTTATTAAAAGAGAAAAATGATTAATTGTCAATTATTTATGCAAGTAAAAGTAGACAATAACAAAATGCTTTTATTTAATAAAACAAATGATTACTTCTTTTTTAATTATTAATATTCAAATTATTACCGGTTTTTTTTAAAAACTGTGCAGAAACATCAGCGCATTGTAACCGATATTTTTGAAAATGTTAGTATTTTAAAAAATGTCAAAACCAAACAGAAAAGTGACAGTTTTCACAAAAAAATCTTTGGACTTTTCTCAATTAAATGGAATTTTAACAATAAAATTGTTAATCCCAATAGAAGAATGAATAAGTGAAAAGAGGAATAATTAGTCGAAAATAATTACTTATTATATCCTGAAGAGGCGCTTTTTATGAAAGTTTTTTGACATCCAAGTACTTTCTTGGTAAACATGCGCTTCTCGGTGATGATGCTGATGCTGCGTAATGTCGCACGGGTTTTCCCAAAAGTTAAAAACTGATCATTTTTTTGACGTTTTTCGGGGTGTTTTTATATTTCTATTAGTTTTTTATTTTACTTTAGAGACGACGGAATGTCACGTCTTGGCATATGATTCTGAGGAATTCATTTACATCCGGCCGTTTTAGGTTTGTACAAACATTCAGCATCTGCCTAATAAAATATCAATAATTTCTAAAATCCAAACTCATTAATATAATTAGTTTCTTTCTCCATCTTTTTTCTCAACCACTATTTAATTTTCTAAATTTGATTTTTCAAACATAAACAACTAAATATTATTGAAACATTTTTCAGTACTGTTGTAATTAAATTTCATAAACGTCAAAGAACTTATTTTTATTTAATAAAACCCTGAAGTTTTGAAATTTCAACAAAATTTTCCAATTTGTAAAATTTTGACAAAAAGAATAAGATTTTTAAAATTAATCTATTTTTGTTTTAAATAATTGAGTTTTAGAATAGTTGCCAATTTGTGTTTAGAGTAAACAATTTTAAAGTCAATTAAACACATGACATGGAGCGAGAAACACATTATAAAAATTACAGTCCATATAACTTTCTTTTTAAGAAAATTTCTTTAAATTTAAAATAAATTGAACTCACGGTCTATTTCCTGCAGTGAAATTGACGCTGCATAACGAGTTCTCTTATCTATTAATATGGTAATTGAACTTGGTAACTGCACTACAAATAAATATTCTTCAATATATATATATACATATATATGACTCCAACTTAACAATTATTGACGATTCGTTCAAGTAAATAATATTTTGCAAAATATTACTCAAGCATTGGTGAATATTTATTTAAATTGCGTTATTAATTAAAAATAATATTTAATATTCAGTGTTTTTGTTTTAAATGTTTCTAATTTAGGGTTGACACAGTCCATATTTCAATTTTCTTAAAAATAAATAAAATTCTTCTCCAAAATTCAATTATTTTCAAAAATTTCAATAAAATTCTTGGTAAATATTCAATTATTTTCAAAAATTTTCCTCAATCCAATAATTTTCAATATCTACTATTTTAATAAAATTTTTCAAAAGAAATCAATTATTTTCATAAATAATAAAAATTTCACAGGATTTCAGCCATTTGCAAATTTTTTCTCAATAATTCAATTATTTTTACAAATAATATAATTTTTTACAGAGATTCAATTATTTTCATAAATAATAAAACTTTTTACAGAATTTTAATTATTTTTAATACAATTTTAATCGAATTCTTTGAGAAATGTAATTATTCAAGAAAAAAAGGTTTTAAATGAAAATCTTTAAAAATATGAATTTTTCATACTTTTAACTGACAAATCTGAAGAATTATTTTTTTTCAAAAAGTTTAATTCAATTCTTTTTTGAAATTATTTCAAGTGTTTATTTTCTAAATACCTATTTAATTGAAGAATTTCCGAATAGTCTTATTATCCTAAAATTAAATTGTAAACAAATGGATTTGAAAATTGTCAAGGATATTTTGCAAAGCGTATTAAAAATAATTGAGAATTGAATTCTTTTCAAGGATTTAAATAATATTTTTTGAAAATTATTACATTTTTCAAAGAATTTACTTAAAATTGTATTAAAAATAATTGAAATACTGTGAAGAATTTTATTATTAAGGAGAATAATTGAATTCTTGCAACGAATTTTATTACATTTTTCTTAAAATAATTGAATTCTTTTCAGGAATTTTATTAAAATAGTAGATTTTGAAAATATTTGAATTTCAGAGAAGAATTTCACTATTTGTGAAATATTTTAATTTCAGCAAAGAATTTCTTTATTTGTGAAATGTAACTGAACTCTTGCAAAAAAATGTTATGTATTTTTTTAAATAATTGAAATCCTGTGTAGAATATTATTATTTATGAAAATAATTGAATTCTTGCAACGAATTTTATTACATTTTTTTAAATAATTGAAATCCTGTGAAGAATCTTATTATTTATGAAAATAATTGAATTCTTGCAACGAATTTTATTACATTTTTTTTTAATTATTGAATTCTTTTTAAAATTTAATTAAAATAGCAAATTTTGAAAATATTTTAATTTCAGCAAAGAATTTCATTATTTGTGAAATGTAATTGAATTCTTGCAAAAAATTAAATTATTTATAAAAATAATGTATTCTTGCGAAGGATTTTATTAAAATTGTTATAAATAATTTAATTTTTTTGTTTAAAAATTTGATGAAAATATAAGTGATCAATATCTTTATGTTTTCTAATAAATATTCTTATAAATTGTTGAATTGCAAAAAGATTTGAATTTTAAATTTAATAATATTAATAATAATACTGATTAAAAATTTATTTAAAAAAGAAAGGTAATGATGTTTTCGAATAATTTTACTTTTGAAGAAATTTGTAAATAAATGTAATAGAACAGTTTTTTAAGTGTCGAATAATTTTTAGAGTGAATCAGAATATTCTTTAGGCTCAGGGAAAAAGTATGCTGAAATTACTAAAATTGTGAAATTTACAGACGCGGAAGACGGACCGAAAATAATTGGATATGCTGGAAGTTGGTGTGAGAGTTGTTAGGGGTAAAGATTGGAAATGGGGCGATCAGGACGGTGGCGAGGGACACACGGGTACGGTTGTTGAAATTGGAAAACCGTACGATGCAAATAGTGCCTCGTCAACGCCAGTTACCGGTGATAAAACACCTGACAAAACTGTAATCGTTCAATGGGATCATGGACCAAGGAGTAATTATCGTATTGGCTATCAAGACTCATACGACTTGCTACTTTACGACAATGCTCCAATTGGTGTTAAACATCCTAATATAATATGTGATGGTTGTAAAAAACACGGAATTTTTGGTATGCGGTGGAAGTGTGCACAATGTTTCGATTACGATTTGTGCACACAATGCTACATGGCAGACGTTCACGATTTAAATCACACCTTTCAACGATTTCAAACACTCAACTCCGCTGGGTAAGTGTAAGAAAATATTTTTAAGTCCATCCATTATAAATGTCCTCTAAACTCCTCGTCGAATAATTTGAAAAGAAAATTACAATATTTTGCAAAAATGATTTTCAAGTTCCGATAACTTCAAAATCATTTTTGCAAAATTTTGAAAATTAAATCACGAACTGAAAATTCTTACTAATTGATAAAATGAAATTTTAGGGTACAACTTCCTGCGAGAGATGGCTGCACGAAAGTGATGTTAAGAGGAATATTTATTGGAGCAAAAGTGAGCCGTGGAACAGATTGGGAATGGAGCAATCAAGATGGAGGTCGAGGTATATAAAAAATGAACAATTTTTAATTATTCGTAATTTTTGCCTAGTCTTTTCATAGTTTTCAATAATCAAACCTAAAAATCTTCTCTAATTGATTTTAAAGTCTGTTACTCTTTAATTTTTCCCATTTGAATTTTAAATTAAATTTAGGTCCAGTTTCACCAACACCGATTAAAAGTTAAATGATTAAATCCTTCACCCGATCATGAGCGGTTAAGTTGACTTTAATCACTGAGTTAGTGAATTTGGCCCTTAAACATTTAAATTTGAATTCTACATTTGAAAATTTGAAAATTCATTCAACAGGCAAAACGGGAAGAGTGATGGACATTCGAGGTTGGGATAATGAAAGTAGTAGATCAGTGGCTACCGTAACATGGTCATCGGGAAGTACGAATGTCTATCGAGTTGGTTATAAAGGATGTGTCGACCTCTGCTACGTGGAAGAAGCGAACGGTGGTGTTTATTACAAAGATCATTTACCACTTTTAGGACAGCCAGTTTCAATAATTGACAATCCCGTTACAAATGGTGATGCAACATCATCAGAAAATACGGGAACACGACATCTAACATTCCTAGTTGGCGACAAAGTAAAAGTAATGAAAGATATAAATACTCTAAAAACAATGCAAGAAGGTCATGGTGGATGGAATCCACGCATGGGAGATTATTTAGGACAGGTACTCAATTTTTCTCCCCTAATTGAAAATACTTAATATTTTTTAAATCTTTCAAATATTTCAAATATTTACAAAATATTGAACTTGAACTAAATTTTGAACTTGTTCGACAGATTGGAGTGGTGCATCGAATTACAGATAAAGGAGATATCAGAGTTCAATACGAAGGCTGTAATAATCGATGGACATTTCATCCAGCAGCATTGACAAAAATAATGACTAAGGATAATTTTTCCGTAGGCGATATAGTTAGAATAAAAAGTGATTCAGTAGCGGTTAAGAATTATCAACGGGGACATGGAGAATGGATAGACGTAATGAAGACTGTAAGTACTTCAAATTTCATTGGATAATTAAGGAGATTAATTAATTAATATCAATCCTTTCTAAATTAATTTAATTAATCCCAGGCACTCGGTAAAACCGGTAAAATAATAAAAATTTATCCCGATGGTGATATGAGGGTAGCTTTAGACGGACACATTTGGACATTCAATCCTTTGAGTGTAATTCTTGTTAATTCAAATTCAGAATTAGGGAATTCGGCTGCTAAGGATGGAAATCGCGATCGAGGTATGCTAAAATTAGAAAAATATCACTTATATAATCAGAATTATTATTGAATAATTCTTTTGGATTTTCAGTTGCCAACAATGAATTTGACAGTGATATAGAAAAATTGTTACGAGCAACGGTAAGATGTGAATCGACATTGAATGCTGTTAGGGAATTTTTAAGAAAACATCCTGACAAAGTGGACGCTAGAGCTGGTGGTCCTGGTGGTGGGAGTAAAACTTGTTTACAGGTTGCTGCACATCAAGGAATTCGTGATTTATGCATTTTTTTATTGGATTCCGGTGCTTCCCTTCATGCTGTCGATGAAGACGGAGACTCTCCTTTACATTACGCAGCTTTCGGGTAAGAAATGAGAGCAATACTTCTTTTTCTTAGCCTTCTATTTTAGCAATTTTCTTTTAGCAAAAGAATAAATAGGCAAAAAAAGAAAGTTCTTCTTTTCCTTTTTTTTACAATTTAAGTAATTGTAAAATTGTTGAAGTAAATTCAATTCTTTGGACTGATAATGCAGGGTTCCCACAGGCCAGGGAATTCAGGGAAAAGTCAGGAATTTTTACTAAAAGTACTGGAAAATATTCAATTTTTAGAATTCATAAGAAACTTCTGAATTTTTGAGTCTTTTTTGTTTGACTCATAAACTATGAAATTACCATGAATTTTAATAGAAAACCTTCAATTTTATTTATTTCTAACAATAATTTCCTTTTAAATAACTTAATTCTTGAAGAACTATCATAAAATTATTACTTATAAATTATTTAATGAATAATTATCTTTAAAAATAATAAAAATTTTCTCCGAAATCCACTTATTTTCAAAAATGTTCCTCAATTCAATGATTTTCAATATCTACTATTTTAACAAAGTTTTCCAAATAAATTCAATTATATAAAGAAAATTAATCAAATTCTACGAAAACATTTAATTATCTTCATAATTATCTTCTAATTTAATTATCTTCATAAAATAATAAAAATTTCACAAGAATTCAATTATTTACAAATTTTTTATAAATTTCTTTTTAATACAATTCAAATTCAATTTAATAATTCAATAAATTATTTTTGTATTTAAATAACTGAAAATAATTAAAATTTTTTTGAAAAAGTTTAATTTAACTTTTTTTGAAATTATTTAAAGTTTTTATTTTCTAATTTATATATTAAATTGAATAATTTACGAATTTTACTTTTGAAGAAATTTGTCATTAAATGTAATAGAACATATTTTTGAGTATCTAATAATTTTTAGAGTGAATCAGAATATTCTTCAGGGTGAGGGAAAAAGTCTAAATTTTATCTGAAATCAGGGTTAAGTCAGGGAAAAAGAAAATTAAATTTCCGTGGCAACCCTGATAATGAAAATGAATTACCTGTTTGATAGTGATCAACCGGAAATAATGGAATTGCTCTTGGATCGTGGTGCGCCAATTAATGCAGTGAATAACGGAAAATGTAGCGCTCTTCACGTTGCGGTAAATAAACAACAGGCGCAATGTGTCCATACTTTATTGCGACACGGCTGTGATGTAAATCTACAGGATTCTTATGGAGACACTGCACTACATGACGCTATTGGAAAAGACGCACTTGACATCACCGATGCTCTCTGTGCCTGTGAGAGATTGAATTTCACGCTTCGAAATAAACGGGGATTTAATGTCTTGCATCATGCAGCGCTCAAAGGGAATGCTTAGTATGTTTCTGAAATTAATTTTTTTAAAAATTTATTAACTCCAAAATAAAGATGAAAATTTGTTTTCAAAATTGTAGATTTTAGAAAATTTTGGAAAATTTGTAGAAAGTAGAAAATAAAAAGTATTTTACGGTATTAAAAATAATTTTCAGCGCCACGGAAAAAGTAGTCCTTCGAGCTCAGCATTTAGTTAATGTAAAGAAGGACGACGGTTTTGCGGCATTACATCTTGCGGCCCTAAATGGTCATCGTGAAGTTGCGGAAATTCTCCTTTCTCCAACAGGTGGTAGAGCGAATGTTGATTTGCGGAATAATCGACGACAAACGGCTCTTCATCTGGCGACATCGCAAGGTCACTGGGCTCTCGTTGAACTTCTCCTCAGACACAAGGCAGACATTTCCAGTACTGATGAAGATGGTGACACGGCACTACATATCGCTATTAAAAAAAGTCGCAGTCAACCAACGGCCGTCACACCAGAAAGCTGTCGGGATTCTCCACTAACTTACGTGGTATGAAAAAAAGCTAAAAAATATTTTTAAAAAATAATCCAGGGCTCGAACCAGTAAAAATATTGACAATTTTCAAATCCATTTGTTTACAAATCTTTTTTACGAAATTTCGATTATTATTAGAAAATTCTACTAGAATTCAATTATTTAAATGCAAAAATAAATAATTTATTGAATAATTGAATGTTTCTTAAAATTCAATTCCCATAAAGAATTTTATTAACAAATTTTTGAATAATTGAATTTTTCGAGGAATTTGATTAAAATTGTATGAAAGATAATTGAAATTCTACAATGAGTTTTATTATTTATGAAAATAATTGAATTCCTGAAAAGAATTTTATTATTTACCAAAATAATTAAATCCCTGTAAAATTTTTATTATTTTATGAAAATAATTATAGATTTTCGTAGAATTTATTAAAATTTTTTTAAATAATTGAATTCTTTTGGAAAATTTTTGAAAATAATTGAAATTTTGACAAGAATTTTATTAAAATTTTTGTAAATAATTAAAATTCTGAGAAGAATTTAATTATTTCTAAAGGTAATTGAAATTTTAACGAGAATTTAAAAAAATTTTTGAACATAATTGAATTTCTGCGAAGAATTTTATTACTTTTGAAAATAATTGAATTTCTGCAATCATTTGTAATTTCTCTTAAATTTTCCAAATTATATCGTACAATTTACGAATTTTTCGTCTTTTCTCAATCAAATTATGGACCTTACGGTCCTTTTATAAAAAAAATTACTTTTACGGACTTCAAGAAAATTTACGGACCTAGTTCGAGTCTTGGTAATTTCAAATATTAATTTTCTAATAATTGATTCACACAGATTTGGCTAAATTTGGCGAGGCAAAATACAAAGACTGAATTTGCGTTAACTTGTTATTTGATCAGTCAAGACAGAAGTGGCAATTTACTTGAACAGGCGAAAAATTCCAAAGGTAAATCACCTTTAGATCTTCTGCAGTCTGATGAAGATCCTTCTCTACCAGATGTTTTACGCTCCTATTACAATCAAAATAATAGTGACGATCAGTCTCCGTAAGTATCCACATTCACTGTACTTTGATTTCTAAATGAAATAAAAAAAATAAATTTTTTTCAATTAAACAAAATTTCTTCTAAAAAAAGTTTCATAACTTGCATATTTTCTTTTCAAGAAGTCAAGAGAATAATCCTGCAAGTAGTAATGAAAATGGTCCAACGAATAATCTTGAATCCATCGGGGAAACAGAAGTCATAAAAAAGTATCCTCGCAGTTCTGGTGGTGACGCGAACGAGTGTCAAAGTTGTCGTGGTACTCCAAAAAAAATCGCTCCTGGCGGTAGTGTCACAGGTAAACATTCTTCTATACAAAAATTCTTTTTTCTTTACAATTCCTAAAAAAAAACCATCAACTATTAAAAACAAATAAAAAAAATACAAAAAATTTCAGAAGAGGAAACAAAAGAAGGAAATGAGAGAAATGATGAAATTGAGAATAAACATCAAGAAACTAAAGAAAATAAAGAAAAGGATAAAAATTTGGAACGTCTACGGTACTTAGAAACTAGAGTAGCTGATCTTGAGGAAGCACATTTGTGCAGTATTTGCATGGAGAGAGTACGAAATGTCGCTTTCTTGTGTGGTCATCTCACATGTCATGAGTGCGCGATACCTTTGAAAAATTGTCCCATCTGTCGACAAAAAATTTTGAAAAAAATAAATTTATACTAATTAATAATAGCGGAAAATCCGCAAAAAAAATCTCATCTGCCAAATATATGTAAATGTCGTCGTTGTCGGTCATCGTCGTCATTGTCGTAGCACAGTCTCCTCCAAAAAAAAAAAACTCCCAGTGTTAAAGTTTTACCAACTCGTGCCATGCAAATTAGAAAAGTCTGTAAATGCCTTTTTTAATTATATACACATATATTTAAATAATAATAATAATTAATCGCTGCTTTTTGGAAACATTTGAATCAACGCTTTGCTCGCGTATTCCCGTCCATAATAAACTTCTTTTTAAATCTAAAAATCTCCCACTCGACTGATCCACTTTTTTAAGCAAAACAAAAAAGAAACAAAAAATCAAATTCCAAAAAGGAGGGAAAATTTTACAACTTTTGTTTTTTAATCGAATTTTATAGGTACGATTTTTCTCTAATAAAATTACGATACGCGCGTCTGTCTCATGCCAATACGCATAATAGTGACAAGAAAAAAAGAAAACAAACATAAAAATTGGATGATTCACTTTATCCGAATCGTCGAAATTGTAATTTTATAATAGTAGTTGTATTGTCGTTAAGTCTATAACTGTATGTACTACAGGAATGAATTAGGATAATAAACTATTTGTAGAGAAGTAATTTAAAGCATTGGTATGATTCTACAATTGTACGTAACGTAGGTGGTAATTTAAATAAAAACATTTTAAATTTAATCGACCCTTAATTCAGTTTCTCCGTTACATTTCATGTCCACTTTTTTTTGACGCACTCGAAAGACAATATTATAATAATATATATCACATTGACAAAGCTAGAGAAAAAAAAGGATTAAAAAATCATAAAACGCGCACAAAAATGATTATAAACGGTTCCGAAACTTGCACGCAAAAAAATGTACTATATTTCCTTTTTTACAGAAATAGCTTGAATATTTATCTAAAGCAGAAAAAAAAACTTATAAACTAAACTAAATGAATCGTCTAGCTACTTTAGGCGAATTTTTTTTGCGTGTGAAAAAATATTCTCTCGAACAAAAATTCGAGTAATTTTCAATTGAAACTAATTAACAACAATAATAACACAAGAGCACAACATAATAATGCCGCGTTCATTGACGTTATTTATTTTGGTACTCGATAAGGTTCCATATTTTACAATCTTGAGCTTGCAAAACGTAATAGTACTTGTAATAATAATTAATAATAATTAATAATCATAATAATAGTAATAATAATAATTTTTTCTAAATAACCTAATAATAATACGCTTAAAGAGTGATATAATATTTAATATCTAATAAATTTAAATGGTATTGACATCACGGTCATACACAAGACAGAGATCTATAACTATTTAAAAAAAGAACAATGTTTTTTTTCAATAACAAAACAATCCCCACTTATCATTTACATTTATCTAAATCAGTTTATCTGCAAAAAATATTTTTAAAATATTTCCAAATAAACCAATCACTTTTTTTCCCCCGTTGCTTTTTTTTCTTTCTCTCTTTCAAACAGTTTTTTGATCTCCATCCAAAATCGAATTTTCAGAAGAAAAACAACGTTCTTTCTCATTCACATTTCATTTTTAAACGGTTTGCTTCTAAAAAAATTGTTCATTACAAATTTTTTTCCGCGCAAGAAAACAAAGTGAAAGTAAAAAAAAAAACGACTAGCCGGTGAATGGACAGAAAAAAAAGAACAACACTATAATTTATCACGAAGAAAAAAGCGATTTACACACTGGAACTTCAATCGAGTCCAATTCATTGTATTTAACGGAATTTGTTTTTGAATCATTTTTTCTTGAATTAGATTCAAAGTCAAATTATTGTAACTTTTTGCATTCGTTGATAAAAATAATTATCGATTATAAGTGAGAGAAAATTTATATTATACTAAATATTTTTTTAATTAATATTTAAGGTTTTTTTTCAAAAATTATTTTGAATATTCCAATAAATGTATTTTTTTTTCATCATTTCGAGAAGAAATATTATTCTTTAAAAAAACTAAATTGAAATTTTCCCGAGGATCGAATTTTACAAGAACCGAATTACTAGTTAGCCAAAGTTTCACGTTGAATTTGATTGAAAAATTGATATTTTCATTTGGCAAATTTTTGATTTTTGATTTAATACAAATTCTACTCAGTCGAATTTCCATTTCATTGAATTTTCCCTATTCGATAGAATTTCGTCTCCGAAAGAACTTTTCGGTGTGGATTTTAAAATAAATCAATTTTCCTTATTGTCAAAACGAAAAATTAGTATTTTAAAACTTCCAGGAAATGACAATTCGTGTCAAAGACACGATCAAAAAAAACACCACAAAAGGAATCTTCAAAAAAGAGAACAATTGATGAAGATGAGGATAAAAAATCGATGGATTCAAAAAAATTCCGGAAAACTAATCCGAGGAAGCCGAAATCTAATCAAAATGCGACGTCGTCTAATTCCGACAGGAATCAATCAGGTAAAAAAAGTATATTTAAGTAAAGAATTTAATTAAAATAACTATTTACTTATCTATTTGGATATTTTAAATAAAGAATATAATTACCTGATTTAAAAATACTTACTTATACAAGCAAATACAAATTCGGTTAAAGACACAAATTTATAAAAATCATGAACGTTTTTAAAAACGAAAAAATGCGACGCAAGAGTTCATTTTTTGGAAATTACCAATTTTTTCATTTTTCGTTTCCAAAAACGCTGCGGATTTTAATTTCATAAAAATTCGGCTTGATAAATAAATTTGAATATGAACCAATAAATTTGAATTTTGCTAAAAGAAAATTCAGTTTCATGAAAATTCGATTAATTCTTTATCAATTCTTTAAAAAAACTAAATTGAAATTTTCCCGAGGATCGAATTTTACAAGAACCGAATTACTAGTTAGCCAAAGTTTCACGTTGAATTTGATTGAAAAATTGATATTTTCATTTGGCAAATTTTTGATTTTTGATTTAATACAAATTCTACTCAGTCGAATTTCCATTTCATTGAATTTTCCCTATTCGATAGAATTTCGTCTCCGAAAGAACTTTTCGGTGTGGATTTTAAAATAAATCAATTTTCCTTATTGTCAAAACGAAAAATTAGTATTTTAAAACTTCCAGGAAATGACAATTCGTGTCAAAGACACGATCAAAAAAAACACCACAAAAGGAATCTTCAAAAAAGAGAACAATTGATGAAGATGAGGATAAAAAATCGATGGATTCAAAAAAATTCCGGAAAACTAATCCGAGGAAGCCGAAATCTAATCAAAATGCGACGTCGTCTAATTCCGACAGGAATCAATCAGGTAAAAAAAGTATATTTAAGTAAAGAATTTAATTAAAATAACTATTTACTTATCTATTTGGATATTTTAAATAAAGAATATAATTACCTGATTTAAAAATACTTACTTATACAAGCAAATACAAATTCGGTTAAAGACACAAATTTATAAAAATCATGAACGTTTTTAAAAACGAAAAAATGCGACGCAAGAGTTCATTTTTTGGAAATTACCAATTTTTTCATTTTTCGTTTCCAAAAACGCTGCGGATTTTAATTTCATAAAAATTCGGCTTGATAAATAAATTTGAATATGAACCAATAAATTTGAATTTTGCTAAAAGAAAATTCAGTTTCATGAAAATTCGATTAATTCTTTATCAATTCCGTTAAATCAGAATCAAGTTAAATATTCCGTCGTGTCAATATTTAAATAACATTCCAATAAATGAAAAAATTCGATTAAATAAAAATTCTGCTTTCATGAAAATAAAAAAATTTTCTTTCGGCAGATTTTGACAGAAAATTTTGTAAACTTTGGTTAAATAGAAATTTCGTTCACATAAATTTCAAAACAAGAAATTCGAATTTAGAATTAGAAGAAAATATTCATACGTCTCTCTCTCTCCACCTTTTTTCTAAATCATTCAAGTCCCTAAAAAGAAAATCATTTTCGAATTCTCGATTAATGTCCCAGTATATACTTATTAAAACACGTAACCGTAAAAAAGTTCTACCTCTCCGTTTACCGACATATTTTTCCATTCTTATTATTTATAATATATACTTTTTTTTTTGTTTTTCTTTGCAAAAAGTCCAATAAACACTGTTGTAAAATAATTGGGTGATATTGCTTACAGCCTGACCTCGTGAAAAAACGCGGAGATAATAGACTAATTCATAACTACTTATGATTTAGCAGGATATAATTATAATGGCTGTAAACGTTTTACGCGTCGATGGCAATGATTTAGAAGAAAAAAGACCATCAATTCACAAAGAAAGAATTTCTCCACTAAGCAGAAGAATTTCCTGACATACGAATATGAATATTCTGATCGGTCTTTTAAATCGACTTATTTTGACATTGTGTTCCTAAAAGTAAAACGATTATTTTTTTGATTCATAACGAAAGCATGAATCACACGGTACAAAGTTCATAAGTGTGAAAAAATCAATAAACTACTGCTTTTTTTGCGCTTTCTAGTTTCAAAACGACACTGCAAGAGGCCGATTTAGAAAAAAAATAAAAACAAAAATTCTTAAGCGACAACAGGCTCTGTATTGCAAGGCTGCAGATCGTTCTCTGTTTGAGAATCGTTGGCCGCTGAGCCACTGGAATTTGGCGATGCAGCTGGTGTATTTGGATCGTGATTTGGATCAGGATCCGGTGTAACTGCTGCCCATTGAGTTGTGTACGGTGCTGCTCGGGCGAGTCTTCTCGCTTTCCTCTTTGCTCTTCTTTGCTCCATCACTAAACGTAAACGTCGTAATTTTCCCTTTGTCGTCTCATTTTCCTTCGAGAGCTCTTCTAAAAAAATAAAAAATAGTTTAAGGTTAATTTTCCTTTAAAGAAATCTACATTTTGGAAAAAGTATCAAATAGCTCTACAAAAAAAAGCTTCCTAAGAAGTTCTTTCTTTTCTTTCTAGCACGTCATGAATTTTTGTGAAGAAAAAGAAGAGCGAAAATTCTTAGATAAAACTACTTAATAATTAAAAATATAGTTTGAATCTAAACAATCCAAAAGAATTGCTTGCCAAAAGGGAAAAAAGAGAAATATTGAAAACACACCACTAGAATAGCCAGGAGTAGGCGATTCAAGGCAAGCAGCTGTGGACATTCCATTTCCAGTAGCGGAGGAGCCGGCTGAAAGTGTTGACGTTGACGATGATATTTGACGAGTGCTCGAGTGCCTGTGATGATGCCTATAATGTCCTGCAGTCGTTGCTGGTGTTGCGCAAAGAAGATCATTGAGAATATGAATGATTGTGCTAATATCTCGCTTAGGTCGACCGTGACGATCCTGCAAAGCTGGATTTAAAGTTCCACTAAATGTTCCCGAATAAACTCCTTTTCCATGATGATGCATACTTTGTATTATCGCACCTTGTCTACGTCTTGCATTTTCCTGAAAAAAAATCGAAATTAGAAGTTAGTTCAAAACATTCCTCTCAATTTTCCAATAACAAAATTAAAAATTCATTTATTCACAGTTCGCACCTTTCACACAGTTGAACGGAATCAAATGAAAATAAATAAGCAAATATGTACTAGAATTTGAATAATAAAAAGTATTCAATGAATTAATAGTTAGAATATAGTAAAAAAAAAAATATCGGGCCTCGGGTCGATTTTATGACGCAAAAAAGTATATTTAGTAGATTCAAACTATAAAAAAGTTGAAAAAGTCATTCATTTTATTTAGAGTTGGAAAAATTTGATCTATTCCCCTGACTTACGACTGAATTACAGAAAAGTTTTTAACTCCTCCCCTGTTTATAATAAGAACTTCAATTCTAACTTTTTGTGAATTTAATTATTTTCAAAACATTTTTTCGAATTTTCTTACATTTTTATTTAAAAATACTATTTTTAATAAAAAAAATACTATTTTTAGTCAAAAAAATACTACTTTTAATAAAAAACTAATATTTTTAATAAAAATGTAATAAAAATTCTCGAAACTATCAAAATTTCAATTTAATTTGACGAGATTTACATGATCCACAAGTTTTGATTGTTCAAATGAACGAAACATTTTTTATTAAAAATATTTTCCAAAATTGTTGAATTAGTTTTAATAATTTTGAGAAAGTTCTCTGAGAATTCAATTAATTCACAGATAAAAAATAATTGATTTAAAACACGTTTATAATTCAATTGCTTTTAGATTAATTTGACAAAATTGTAATTATTCGAAAAATTTTCAATTGAATATTTTGTTAAAAATATTTTTAAAAAATTACGAATAAATAAATAACTAATTTTTAAAAAATTAGAATCAAAATTTTTCAAAAACTAAGAGATTTCGAATTTTTAATTAAAATTATTCAAAATTCAAATCTTAAAAAATTTCAATTTAATTATTTCGAAAAATTTCCTACTATAATTTTTCCAATATTCTATTATTTTCTACAAATTTTTACCCAAAATTCTTTTCTAAATCTAATTATTTTTAATAATTTTCGTAAAGTTCCTTGAGAATTGAATAATTCAAAAAAGAAAAAGAAAGTTCACTTAAAATAAAATCTTTTATAATTTTGATAATTTGAAAAACTATGAATTGCTTTGAATTTTAAAATTTAATTGTTTCCAGAAATTTTTACTACAAACTTTCCAAAATTCAATTTCTAGAATTTTTAATTAAAATTTCTCTTGAAATCAATTATTTTGAATAATTTGAAAAAAGCTTTTCGAGAATGAAAGAGGTTTCAAATTTTTAATTAAAATTATTCAAAACTCAAATCTTGAAAAATTTCAATTAAAATCCTTTTGAAATTTAATTATTTCTAAAAATTGTTAAAATGTACAAAAATTAATTTTTTTATAAAAATTTCAACGATAACATCGAATTTTTTTGAAAATAGTCGAAAAAGTCATATTATCCAAGGCCATATTTATTTAAAGTTCACACCTTTCGGTATTGAACGAAAAAAATAAAAATAAATAAGTAAATACTAGAATTTAAATAATAAAAGTAATTCAATAAAATAATAAACTAATAATGATAATAAATAATAAAATAGTAATAATAAAAAATATTAAAACAATAGGTAACAAAATATTAAAAAATGATACAAAAAAAGTGTTAATAAAAAAATAAAAGGCACGCAAAATGGAACCCGTTAAATATGTTTCTAGACGGTACTTAATTTCTTTTATAAGATTAACAAAACTTGTACATTAATAAATTATAAGTTTTGTACCATCTAAAAATTTGTTCTTTTGTATTCTTTTTATTTATTGAAATTCTTTTTGAAATTAGTTTTGAAATTATTTTTGAAATTAATTTTCATATTATTCTTAACGAAATTATTCTCTTTTTTCGAAATAAAATCCAAAACAGAGTTTTTAGAATTGATTTACATTTTTCAATATTAATAGATTTCAAGAATAAGAAACAAAACCAAAAAACTGATTCCTTTTTTGTTTACCAACTTCAACGAAATTGCAGTTACCAAAGTTTTTGTCGACGCAAAAAAAACTATTTTTTTCGAGACCAAGAATCAAATAATTTTTGATAAAAAGAACTTAATTATTATTCCCATTGCATTATAATCGGATCTTCAATCCATTCTAGGCTTTCTTCTTTGATTGAAATTATTCCTCTAAAAAAAATTAAAACTTTACACTAGAATGAAGATTTTTAAGTTCTTTTTCGTTTTTCTGAACGTAGCTTCAAACTATTTAAAAAGTGACATTTAATAGAAAATATAAAAGGGGAAAATTTTCTTAACTAGAAAGGAATGTTTGTAATATATAAGAGGAAAAAATGCTTCAAAAAAGAAGAGGAATCCTCTAAAATTGAAAACATTTTTCAATAGTTACTGGAAAATTTCTTTCTTATTCAATTTCGTCGACGTAAACGTTGGTAACTTCAGTTTCGCATTTTATAAAAAATACAAAAAACACAGGGGAGCTTGCTTCGGTATTAAATCTACCTCTGCGAGGTCGACCCGTGAGGTGAATACCTCAGAGGATAGCTGCTTGAGCTTTTGCGTGAGATTACGAGAAGCTTCTGCAAGTGCTCGTGTGTCCAATGTAGCCGACGTTCCTTTGCCAACGTCAACAATTCCAAGTGACGACGACGACGACGATTCCGTACTCGGCGTTAAATGCTCCTCATTTCCCGGACTTCGAGAACTAACGTTAGTTGCAGTCTGTTGTTGTTGCTGCTGATGATGATGATGATGACCAGTGCATAATTTCTTCTTTGTCGGTGTTGTGTCACTGTCCTCCTCTCTCAGTGTAGGGGAGAGATCGGCAACATTTGAGGTAGATGGGAATAATTCAACTGGTGTTGAATTCGACGCACGGACATTTAAACTAGAATTGCTTTTTCTCGTGTGGTGATGATGGTGATGATGATGATGTGTGTGATGGTGGTGGTGATGATGATGATGGTGTAAGAGGCAGGATTGGCGAGGTGAGTTTCCACTCGGTGGAGGTGAATTTGGAGTGCTACGTGGTTGTTGAACGGGCGATGTTTGTGAATTGAATAAATGTGTGGTGGAAATTGGAGACGAGGAGGAGGACGAAGAAGAAGAAGAGGAGGAGGAGGAGGATGATGAACTCGGAGAAGTAGAAGTTGTCGGTGATGGTGTAGTTGTCGCCCGTTCCGAACAAACTGGATTTGTTGTTGTCGTTGCCGTAAACAGGCTTGTATTGCAGGATGTTAAGCTACTAATTAAAGAGGAGGTTCTTGCTGTTGTATTTTGAAGTTTACTCGATGAGCTCGTTGACCGTGCGGAGAGAACGGTGGACCTTCGATTCGAGAGCGGTGTCGAGACGTGATTCGTCATCGTTCCTGTTGAAGCTGAACTTGTCGAATTGAGGTTTGTACTCGAGGTTGTACCGCTGCTCGTCGGACTTGTCGATCTGATAACTGGAGACGCCGGTGTCACTGTTGATAACTGCAGCTGAATCAGCATCATATGGTCCCCAAGGCGCATCGTCAGATTAAGTGGCGCTTTGCCCGAAAGAAAGTCGTTCACTTGCGAGTCGCTCAAACTCTCCAACGCTTGCATCACACTCTGCTCTGGTCTCTGTGCCTAGAAACAAACAAAAAAATTAGTACAAAATTCCCAATAAAAAAAAAAATATATTTTTAACTAATAATTTGAATCTCCGGACTCGAACCAGTAAAAGTATTTAAAAATTCGAACTTTACGGACCAAAAATGAAACATTACGGACAAAAATAATAAATACCAGTCCAAGTCAAATATAAGAGAATATTTTACTTAAAACTATAAATTAAATTTTTCATAACTATAAAACATGAAGAAATCGATAACTCCGAGTCTTCGACTCGGAGTCATCGATTCCTTCATGTTTTATAATAATTAAAGATGGCCCAGTGATAAAATCATAATATTATATTATAAAAATATTGTTATTCAAAATTATTTTCAAAAAATTAAATCAAATTTTTTCCAAAAAATTAATTTCAAAATTTAATTATTTCTAAAAATTCACGCTCTTTTAATATTCAATTATTATCTTAAATTTTAACTGAAATTCATTTTTAAATCAATTTTTATTAGAAAATACTACGAGAATTCAATTATTTAAATACAAAAATCAATAATTTATTGAATAATTGAATGTTTCTTAAAATTAAGGTATCAAAGAATTTTATCAACAAATTTTTAAATAATTGAATTCTTTCGACGAAGTTTAATTAATAATTACATTTTTCAAGGGATTCGATTAAAATTATATTAAAAATAATAAATTGAAATTATGCAATGTGTTTTAATATTTATGAAAATTAAATTTTTAAATAATTGAATTTTTTTGACGAATTTTAATAAAAATTTTCAGAATAATTACATTTTTCAAGGGATTCGATTAAAAATAAATTGAAATTCTGCAATGAGTTTTATTATTTATGAAAATAATTGAATTCCTGTTTAAATCTGTAAATAATTGAAATTTATAAAAAATTTTTTTAAATAATTGAATTCTTTTGGAAAATTTTATTCAAATAGTAGATATTGAAAATCACTGAATTGAGGAAAATTTTTGAAAATAATTGAATTTCGGAGAAGATTTTTATTTTTTTTTTTTAAAGATAATTGAAATTTTGACGAGAATTTTTAAACATAATTGAATTTCACAGAAGAATTTTATTAGTTTTAAAATAATTAAAATTTTTACGAGAATTATTAAAAATTTTTTGTACAGAATTGAATTTCGGCAAAGAATTTTATAATTTTTGAAAATAATTTAACTTCTGCAATCATTTGAAAATTTTATCCAATTTAAAAAAAAAATTTTTTTTAAATAATTTACTTACTTTTTGAAACCTTTTCAAAATTTATTAAAAAATTCTAATAGAATTCAATTATTTAAAAACAAAAATAAATAATAATTTATTGAATAAATGCATGTTTCTTAAAACTTAATTCCCATGGAGAAGTTTATTAACTTTTTAAATAATTGAATTCTTTTATGAAATTTTTAATAAAATTTTTAAGAATAATTACATTTTTCGAGGAATTCGATTAAAATTGTATTTAAAATAATTGAAATTCTACAACGAGTTTTATTATTTTTGAAAATAATTGAATTCCTGAAAAGAATTTTATTATTTACGAAAATAACTGAATTCCTGTGGAATTTTTATTATTTTATGAAAATAATTATAGATTTTCGTAGAATTTTATTAAATTTTTTTTAAATAATTGAATTCTTTTGGAAAATTTTTGGAAAATAATTGAAATTTTGCCAAGAATTTTATTAAAATTCTTGAAAATAATTAAATTTGGAAAAAGAATTTTATTATTTCTAAAAGTAATTGAAATTTTGACGAGAATTTAAAAAAATTTTTGAACATAATTGAATTTCTACGACGAATTAATTATTTTTACTTTTGAAAATATTTAAATTTCTCCAGTTATTAATAATCTCTTTAAAATTCTCCAAATTGTATCGTACAATTTACGAACTTTTCGTCCTTTAACTATCAAATTACAGACGTTACGGACCTTTTTTCAAAAAAACTGATTTTCACAGACTTGAAGCAAATTTACAGACCTTTACAAGATTGACGGACCTAGTTGGAGGACTGGAATTTTTTATTTGAATCTCGATTTAAATTTCGATTCGAATTTTGATTTTGATTCGAATTTTCATTTCGGATTTGAATTTGAAAAGAAGGGATATAGAGTCTGATGAAATGTGAATGCACGGATATTGCACGTGTAAAGATAAGGGAAATCGATAAGAGCCCGGCCAAGAGATAGAAACGCAAGAAGACCTGCAGCGGAAGAGGAAACCTCGCGGAATCGAAGCCCAGAACCCTCAACACCGGTAGGTGGTCCCAACCCACTCAAAGTACACCTAACGGACTTCTTTTGGATTCGGTAATTCAATTTGTATTCCTCTCTGAAAGGAGAGAATTAATATAAAAAAGGGTTATTAGTTATTAAAGGAAAAAGAAATTTTCTTCTATTTTATAGTTCTGTCAATAATCTCGCACACTTGCGACAGTTGCAAGGAGAACCTGGCAACGATAGTCGATACCAGTTTGCCAAGTCTTAAGTCTGGAAATTAGAATGCAAACTTTATTCACGAGAGAAATTGTAGCAAAACTAGAATTCGTATTGGAGAATTAGTTCTGACTTCTGATGAATCAGAATGTTATAAGTATAAGAAATGAGTATAAATGATGTGAATTTTAGTGAATGTGGAAAATAAGTGAGAGGAGAGGATATTGGTGATGACAGGCAAGTTTAAGTTTTTGCATGAGAGTGTGGGACGACGAAAGCTCTTTCCTGGGGTTTATCGACTAGCGCAGCATCCAAAGATGTGAGTTGAATGTCTGTGGACGTAGGTGGCGCCAGAGATGCAATGCAACCTGCTTCTAACCGCATCCGATGGGTGAAGTGACCCACGTGTCACGTCCCCGGTATATATACACCACTACAAATGCAAGAGGCAGTCAACCAGCCAGCAAGCAAGCAAGTAGTAGGTAAGTAAGTGTAAGCTGGCAGGCAACCAGGCGAGCGAACTCGGACCTACGCCTTTTCGCCCTCACCCTCCCACATTATATTATATGCGTACACGTGTGAGCTCAACGTTCACACGAGTGTTTCAGCCTCTGGCATAGTTTGTACGAGTATAGGTTTTCGCTGTGGGGATAGAGAGTATATGTGTGTGCATATAGATATGCATAGTTATCCCTACAGCTGCATGGAGAGCAAAGCCATGGTCCCTCGTTGGTCGTTTAAAACTTCCATAATACCTACTCAGCCTGGGTCTCTGCCTGCCTGCCTGCCTGCCTGCTATGCCTTTCAGCTAGCTAGGGTATATGACTCCTACCAACATGATGACTATGCTTGCCTACCGCATTGGGCTTCACACGAAGGCTACGGCCTCATAGCCGCCATTGTCGATGCCGAATTTCCTGGACAAGTCATGCCACAGACACGCTAAGCTTCGTTGCCAATCTCGATCGTCTCGCTTCGTTGAATTGACCGATAATATTCGCGCATGGTTACGTCCCTTTGTAATCCACCAAACTGATTCGCACTCTCCTCTCACGATCACAAAGAGAACTTGCAAATTCACAATTTCTTCTCTACTTCTCGCCAACTAGTCTTAATTACCCGAAAATTATTTAGTCTCCCAAAAAAATGCACCACACCATCTGAAAAGAACCAAAAACAATCAGTGCTTCAACATCAGAACTAGATTCCCATTGTTCTCAACGATAATATGTCAGTAACGATCCAAAAGAAGCATTACAACAACGATACAAAAATGATACTGATTCTTGATCCAAAAACAATACTGATTCTGGATCAGAACTAGATTCAAATAGTTCTGAAAAATTCTGACAAACATATGTCAGTAACGATCCAAAAGAAGCATCACACCAACGATCCAAAAATGATACTCATTCTTGATTCAAAAACAATACCGATTCTGGATCAAAACAAGATTCAAATAGTTCTGCGATAAATTCTGACAAACATATGTCAGTATAACGATTCAAAAGAAGCATCACACCAACGATCCAAAAATGATACTGATTCTTGATTCAAAAACAATACCGATTCTGGATCAAAACAAGATTCAAATAGTACTGCGATAAATTCTGACAAACACATGTCAGTAACGATCCAAAAAAAACTAAAGAAGGATTAAAAAAGTGATCCAAAAACGATACTAATTCGGAATCAAAATCCAGGGCTCGAACCAGTGAAAGTATATTTAAAAATATACGGACTTCATGGACCAAAAATGAAAAATTAGGGACCATTTAAGGACTAATTATTATTTTCAAGAATATTTAACTAGTTCTTCTTTTCATCAATTACTTTTCATAATTTTCGAAAAAGTTCTTTGACAATTTTCAAATCCATTTCAAAAAGGGATTCGATTAAAATTGTATTAAAAATAATTGAAATTCTGCGATAAGTTTCTTAATTGTGAAAATAATTGAATCCCTTTAAAAAGGTTGTTGTTTATGAAAATAATTGAATTATTGCGAAGAAATTTATAAAAATTTTGTAAGCAATTAAATTGCTGTAAAATTATTTTTTATTTATGAAAATAATTGAATTCTTTTAGAAAATTTCATTAAAATAGTTGGTAGATATTGAAAATCATTGAATTAAAGAAAAATTTTGAAAATAGCTAAAATTCTGCGAATTTTTAAAATAAAACTTTTTCAAAATTCAATCATTTCAAAAAATTTATGCTAAAATGCTCTTAATATTCACTTATTATGTAAAATTTTAACTGAAATTCATTTTTAAATCAATTTTTATTAGAAAATTCTACTAGATTTCAATTATTTAAATAAAAAAATAAATAATTTATTGAATAATTGAATGTTTCTTAAAAATCAATTCCCATAAAGAATTTTATCAACAAATTTTTAAATAATTGAATTCTTTTGAAGAATTTTAATAAAATTTTTGAGAATAATTACATTTTTCAAGAAATTCGATTAAAATTGAATTAAAAATAATTGAAATTCTGCGATGAGATTTAATATTTATGAAAATAATTGAGTTCCTAAAAAGAATTATATCATTTTTGAAAATAATTAAATTTGTAATTTCTCCAAAATTAAATATTTTTTTGTGTTTTTTTTAACTACAATTCTTATTTAAATTCATTATTTCTAATAATTTTTGGAAAAGTTCTTTGAGATTCAAATCCATTTATTTACAATTCAATTTAACAAAATTTCAATTATTCAGATATTTATCAATTAAATAAAGTAGTCGAAAATAAAAACTGCAAACAAATCATTCTAAGTAAAATTTAAATATACTTTTAAAAAAAACCAGAATTGGTATAGTTAAAAGTATGAAAAATTCAAACTTTCAAAAATTTTAATATGAAACCTTTTCAAATATTCAATTATTTCTAAAAATGAATCTCTGTAAAAATTTTATTATTTATGAAAATAATTGAATTATTGCAAACAAATTTATATAAAATTTGTAAATAATTGAATTTCTGTAAAATTTTAATGATTTATAAAAATAATTAAATGTTGCGTAGAATTTTGTCAAAAATTTTTTTAAATAATTGAATTCTTTCAGGAAAATTTGATTAAATTAGTAGATAATTGAGAATCATTGAATTAAGGAAATTTTTTTAAAATAATTGAAACTTTGCCAACAATTGTAACACAATTTTTGAAAATAATTGAATTTCGGAGAAAAATTTTAATATTTCTAAAAATAATTTAAATTTTGATGAGAATTTTTTTAAATTTTTGAACGTAATTGAATTTCTGTGAAAAATTTCATTACTTTTGAAAATAATTGAATTTCTGCAATTATTTGTAATTTCTCTAAAATTCTCCAAATTAAATCTTACAATTTACGAACTTTTCATCTTTTCTCAATTAAATTAAGGACTTTACGAACTTTTTTTTTTGAAAAAAACTGACTTTTACGGACTTGAAGCAAATTTTCAGACCTTTACGGAATATACAGACCTAGTTTTTGATTCGTTTTTTGTCTCAATTTGATCTCCTTAGAAAAACACTGTGTCGATCAACAGAATACCACTGACCGATAATTACCTATCCAAACCAAAAACCGAATGCAACAATAATTAAAAATAATGAAACGCAGTCAAAGAGTAAATTGAACCGAAACAATAATATCCATTAATTACAAAATTTCTCCTATACCATTAATCAAAAACTTTGAAATATTTTTCAGAACGAAAGAAGAAAAAAAAACCTTATACCCCAAAAGATGACAAGAACAATCAATTCAACGATATAGTTTCGAAAAAATAAAATTCAAAGGTTATACCACACATTACATCAGATAAAATTTCAGGGAAAAAAAGGAAATGGTCATGTTATCGTGTATAACGATAAACGGTATCGAAAGATACATCACCTGACCTCATTTTACAGTGAAAACAGAATTTTAAAAAGAAATAGAAATAAGAATATTTTGTCAAGACTTTAAAAAGTTCTAAATTATCAACTATAACACGATTCATATATATATATATATAAATATGTTACCTCAGTTTTTTTTCTCGAATCAGTAATTCGAGAAATTATACACGATAACTAATGTGACGTAATGTAACATTTCATTTACATAGAATATATATAGAGATATAATAATAAAAATTCTACATTGAGGAAAAAAGACAATCTATAAATAGTTGATTTTTTTGACTGTATAATATAATATATTCATTAAGATGAAATAGTTCAAGGATAGTGATAATCAAAAAGTTTCAAGACTTGATCAATGACATTCATCTTATGCAATGACCTTGCAAAAGATCGTTTACTGTCTTCGTATAATATTCTCTCTCCCTCTCTCCCTGATTATTAGTCCACTTTACAACATCGAATTTTGTAATTAAGGAACATGTAATTACCTGTCAGTAATCAATTATTAGAAAATACGATTCAACACAGTTTTCGATTTTTTCCTTTTCTCAAAATTGTTTATGTTTCAATTGTTAACGAAAGAAGAAATTTTAATGACACCTGTTAACAATGAATTGATTTTGTTTTCTAAAGTCTAATAAAATAGGAAACGTAAAACTATTTGAAATTGATTTTAAATCTGATTTTTCTGAACAATAAAATAAAATATAAAATATACAATAGGAATAGAAAATTTTTCCTCAGGAATTGAAATATTTAAATAAATAAACATAATTCTTGGCAAAAATTCTATTATTTTCAAAAATACTAAAATTTTTTCCTCGGGAATTGAAATATTTATAATAAATTAACATAATTCTTTGCGAAAATTCAATTATTTTCAAAATTTCAAAATTTTTCCTCAGAAATTGAAATATTTAAATAAATCAACATAATTCTTTGCAAAAATTCAATTATTTTCAAAAATACTAAAATTTTTCCTCAAGAATTGAAATATTAAAATAAATTAACATAATTCTTTGCAAAAATTCAATTATTTAAAAAAGTCTTAACACAAAATTCTTTTATAAAATTCAATTATTTTCAAAAATACGTAAATTTCTCCTAAAGAATTCTAATATAAAAATTAATATAATTAAATAATTAAATTATTGAGGAGAATTTTAATGAAATTTTTAAATCCTGGAAATAAATTTATTATTTATGCCAAATATTTTTTAAAATAATTGAATTTTTTGAAGAAACTTTTTATTAAAAATTTTGAAAATTATTCAATTCTTTCGTGAAATTTAATAACAATTGTATTGAAAGCAATTGAATTCATGCAAATAAATTTAATCAAAATTATTAAAAATAATTCATTTTCCATTTGAAAAATTTTTCTAAATAATTGAATTGTTTCCAAAAAATTTAATAAAATATTATACAAATAATTGAATTGCTGCGAGGAATTCTATTAACTATGAAAATAATTGAACTTTTAAAAATTACAACTGTGATTCTCTAAAATTTAAACATTCGTTTGGAATTTTTAAATAAAATTATTCAAAACTGTTATAACTTTTTAGGAAAATATTATTACACTTTTAATTAATTCAATTATTCAATTATATTTTATATCTTAAATTTTAAGTGAAATTCATTTCTAAATTGATTCTTCTTAGAAAGATCTATGAGAATTCAATTATTTACATACAAAAATTAATAATTGATTATTTCTTAAAATTGAATGCCTTAAAAGAATTTTAGTAAAATTTTTAAGAATAATTGCACTTTTCTTTTTTTTCTAGTTTCTTTTTTTTATTTATTTGGAATTGTATTAAAAATAATTGAGGGCCTGGATGCTATAATGTGTTACGCGCCATTTACTTAACATGGCGCGTAACACATTATAGCATCCAGCCCCTCAATTGAAATCCTGCAAAGAATTTTGTTATTAATGAAAATATAAATTGAATGCTTACAACGAATTTGAATAAATTTTTTTTAAATAATTGAATTTCTGCGAAGAATTTTATTGTTTATGAAAATAATTGAATAGTTTGAAAGAATTTTATTGAAATTTTTCAAAATAAATTTTCTGTCATCTAAGGAAATGTTAATTCTTTAAAAACTTAGTTTCATCAAAATTAGAGATGAACTGAAGAAAAAAATTCTTTTCTAATTTTTCGTTTATTAAAAACGTTCTGGACTTCAGCCTCGTAGGGCATTGATTATTCGGAAATTTGTAAGGCTACAAATTTTGAAGAGAATTCGAGCTTTATTTTGACTTCAAAAATTTTCCTGAACAAAAATCGGAATTTTGATAACTTTTCGAGTACTTTTGATAAAGTTAGGTAACATTTCCCTGATTTCCCTGACCTATGGCAATTTACGGCTAGGATATTGAAATTCTTTCGGAATTCCAATTTCAAAAAGAAAAGCAGATTATTGTCGTATAGGATTACACCATGAAAGAATATAAGAGAAAAAGAAAGTTTCTTTTTAGAAACAAAGGATATTGAGAAATCAAAGCTAGAAATAGCTGAAAGCAGTGTCTTTGTAGGGGGAGAAAAAAAGGAAAAAAGAAAAGAGAGAGAGAACGAGAGAGATTACAAAAGGAATTTAACAGATGATTGTATTTTTCAGTTTGAGGAAACGGAGTTTCCGGCTGCTCCTGAAATTTTAGGCACGCGTGTGCAGAAAGTCGAGCCTTGTGCAGCAGCAGTAGTTGAGTTTCGATCGAACAACCGAGGCGTTGCGTTGGTATGTACGAAGGCGCTTTAAAATTGACTGCGGAGAGTTCGGGCGGGCGGCTTCGCTTGACAGCTATGCGAACCAGCCTCGTCGGCAGCGATAAGGACCGTGCGCGCTGTTGCCAGCTCGCTTCGTCAATTTCGGAACACACCCTTTATACACGAAATATATTCCCCCTTTTAAACCAAGTTCTCCTCCTCGTCGTCGTCTAGTAGTCATCATTGCCAGAAAGAAGCCACCCGATGAACCGATTTAAATGCATCGTCAGCTGATTCTATACCACAGAGACAAATTTCATCACAAACTCTTCGCAATCATGACGACGACGATGATGATGATGATGACAATCTCAAACCTTTTCTGTAAATTACAATTTTCAAAATTTTAACAAATAATCAAAAAAGGAATCGAGAAAAAGATGTGAAATACTTTTCCATTTCCAAAGATGGCAATTAAAAAAGAGACTTGAAAGATGACCGAGAAACCAAGTGACCTGACGAAGCTCGTGCACCAGAGAGTTAACGGAGTTTATTCAGAGCGCTTGTTCTGCACCTCTTCTGCTTGACTATTGCGCTTATTTCATCGTCTTTGCGGAACCTTTACATCAGGATAGACTACCGTTCAGTGAACGTCACCGATTTCACGTAATCTTCAAACGGTAATTAAAAATCAAGTGGGACTGGAAAAACAACGGGAGAGAATGAATGGAAGGAGAGCTTGAGAGAGGGGGAGAGGGAGGCGTTGCATAAAAAACGGAACTGTCTGAATAAAATATATGTTAAAAAGTCACTCACCAACAATCCAGTTTCTACACTTGGCAACAATGTCAATCGGCTACCATCCTGGAGACGATTTTCATCCAAAGTTCCTTCTCGTAATTGCCTAAAAAACACAAGTTTCGATTAGTATATACAAACTCAATTAAAATTCATACAAAAAAAAAATAATACAATCAAATTAAAATCCATACAATTCACAGTTTTTCTATAAGAATATCAAATTGAGACAAAACACGAAAATTGAGCCAAAAAACGAATCAAAAACGTTGCATCGCAATATTTTTGATTCGTTTTTTGTCTCAATTTGACATCCTTAGAAAAACTCTGTTTTTGTTAATATAAACAAACAAGTATATAAAAATATAAACAATTAGTGACGCTCCAGGAAAAAAGAGATCTTATAGGGGATTTTCTCGTGGAGCATAAGATTTACTGTAACAATTTCCAGGCTTCGCACTCATCTACTAAAACCTACTTTTTACTATAAAATATTTATATTAGAAAAAAATTAATCTGTCAATTATTTTTTAATTATTTTCACAAATAATCAAATTGTTTGATAAAATTAAATTATTTTCATAAATAATCAAATTCTTTGATGAAATTCAATTATTTTCACAAATAATCAAATTCTTTGCAAAAATTCAATTATTGTCACAAATAATCAAATACTTTGCTAAAATTCAATTATTTTCACAAGTAATAAAATTCTTTTCTAAAATTTAATTATTTTTACAAATAATCAAACTCCTTTCCTAAAATTCAATTATTTTCACAAATAATCAAATTCTTTGCTAACATTCAATTATTTTCACAAATAATCAAATTCTTCACTAAAATTCAATTATTTTCAATGTCTACTATTTTAATAAAATAAAATCCCTAAAAACATTCATTAAAAATTTCAATTATTTAAAAACTTTGTTAATAAAATTTATCGCAAAATTTGAATTATATTCATAAATAATAAAATTCTTCTCATAAATTCAATTATTTCATAAAATTTTTCAAAAGAAATCAATTAATTTTAACGATTTTATTAAAATTCTTCAAAAAAAAATTCAATTATTTTCAAAAATTATGATACAATTTGTTTCAAAGAATTCAATTAATTTCAATGCAATTTTTATTGAATATTCCTTAAACGAATTTAATTATACATATTTCCAGAAATAAAAATAGTCATCTGAAGATTTCAATTATTTTCAATTTTAATTAAATTTCTTAAAATAATTCAATTACTTTTTTAAATTTTATAATATCTGTTGAAGAATTTTAATTATTTTCAAAAATTCGAATAAAGTTTTTTTCAGAAATTCAATTATTTTCAATCAATTATTTTCTCACAAATAATAGATTTCTTCGAGAAAAATTCAATTATTCAGAAAAATATTGACAAATTTTTCCAACAGAAATAAATTATTTTTAATAATTTTGATAAAATTTGTTTATTTAAATTCAACTGTTTTCAATAATTGTAATTAAAATTGAAAAAATTCAATTACTTTCAAAAATACTAAAATTTTTCCTCAGGAATTGAAATTGAAATTCCTCGAAAAATTCAATTATTTTTAAAAATTTTATAAAAATTTTTCTCAGCGATTCAATTATTTTCAAAAAATTCTGATAAAATTCTTTATGTGAATGGAAAATTTTTAAATTGCATTGAAATAAATTCTATAAATTTTATGATTTAAAGAAATTAATTTTTTTCATTTTTTACAATTATTTTTAAACAGTAGAATATTGTATATTGTTAAAGAATTCTAATTAAAAATTTGGAAAATAATTGAATATTTTAGAAAATTTTATAATTCAAATTATTAGCAGGATAAGAAAAAAAGTTAATATTTTATATGGAAATAGAAAAAAGTCCCAATGGGAAAATACATAATCAAATTTTTTTTATTTATGTGAATCGGCTAAAATGAGTTTTTTTTTAATTAAATTAATTTTTCGGTAGCTACTTTTTTACTACTGCTTTTTATTCTTAAAGCTACTCATTAATACATTTTTTTAAAAATATAACTATTAAGTGCGAAGCCCAAATTTCCCCATCCAAACGAAACCGTAAAATATTAGAGCTCTCAGAAGGATAATTTTCCAAAACATTTTTTTTATCTCAACTCGAAACAGCAAGAACCTTTGAAGTCAAATTCAGAGCGAGGCAAAGACCTTCTTAGATATCGTATACACAGTCCACAGACAAGAAAGGCGATAAAGGAAGAAAATTATCAGTCAATTGATAAAAGATGAAAAATATTTCGTCGCTAAACAGTGTGTAAACCACAGTTTTCATTAAAAACAGTCTTTACAACGATTGATCGTTTTCGTTTTTCTAAATGAATTCAATCATGCATAACATCTCCAAGTTCCGTTCTTTAAACACCCACACAAAAAGGGAACAATTCCCATTACACTTCAATAACGATTTAATTTCCTAGATTTAAATTTACTTTTCCAAAATTTTTCCTTTTTACTACCTATTGACTTATTTTTTCCTATTTTTTTTTTTTTTTTGCTTCGTAGAAAAAGAGTGACAAAGAAGTTGCAATCTCTTTTGAAAACTGTAATGAAGTTTTCAATCTAGAAATAAAATTTGCATAGGTATTGCCACTCTCGTTCCCAGACTGAGGATTTTAACGATAAACTAAGTTGTTCCCAGCTTGAGAAATCGAATTCGTTTCTTAATGAAAAATTTACATGTCTTTCTTCTTATAGTTGGTGGAAGTAGAGGTACTACAACTTCATCTGCATTCCTTTATGCTCAGAGAGGAATGGACATTTAACACATTCTATCCAGCAGATGCTTCTTGGATCAGTGTATATACATTCATACGTGGGAATCGAGTTAGACTTCCTACCCCGTATTTTCTTTTTTTGCTCGACCCTATCCAAAAATATTAAACTAGTCTTCACCTGGTACTTTTCAATTCAACCCTATACACTCAATAGTCAATCAATAAATTTTTATTTTTCCACCAAAAATCACAAATTTTTCGTTATATTTCAAAAATTCACGCTCAATTTAATTCACTTGGAAATTTACAGACCATGGCTCGACTTTAATGGTCAGAAATACTCCACTGAAAGAAAAAATTTATTTGATTCAAATAACAGGTTGTTTGACTTTTATCAATTAAATATTTACTTGAATCAAATAATTTTTTAGTCATTTCAATTGTATTTTAACCAATCATTTCAGTATTTGAAGCAAAATATAATTTTATGAAAAAAACTCTATTTAGTCGATTCAGAAAAATTTGATTCAGTATTTCCCTCCCTTTTTCCTGAGTTCCAAAAAAAATATTAACTTTTTTTCTTATCCTGATAATAACTTCAAATTCTAAATCCTATTTCAAAAATTCAATTATTTTCCAAACACTTATTTATTGTTCCACAGAAATTAATATTTTTAATAATTTCGATGTAAAAACTTTTTAAAATAATTTAACTATTTCTAAAAATTACAACTGTAAATCATCCAAAATTTAATCCATTTTTTAATTTTTAAATAAAAGTATTCAAAACATATAATAATTTTTTATGAAAAATAATTAATCCATTATTTTAAATAAATAATTAACTATTATTACAATATTACAGAAATTAGAATTTTTAAGATTTTAATTTAATAACCTTTTGGAATTTAATTGTTTCTAAAAATTCCTAATATTTCAAATATTCAATTATTTTCAAAAATAATTGAAACAAAATTTTAACTTAAATTCGTTTCTAAATCAATTTTAACTAGAAAATTCTTTGGGAATTCAATTACTTGAATAGAAAAATAAATAATTGATAGAATAATTGAAGATTTTCCAAAAATTGAATTATCCTGAAGAATTATATCAAAATTTTTTAAAATAATTGAATTCTTCAGAAGAATTTTAAAGAAATTTTTAAATCCTGCAAATAAATTTATTATTTATGCCAATAATTGAATTTTTACAAATATTTGAAAATCTTAAGGAAACTTTTTAATATTTTTGAAAATAATTGAATTTTTTGGAGGAATTTTTTATTACAAATGTTGAAAATTATTAAATTCTTTGAAGAAATTTAATTACAATTGTATTAAAAGCAATTGAATTCGTGTAAACTTTAATCAAAGTTATTAAAAATAATTTATTTTCCATTTAGAAAATTTTGTGAAAATTTTTCTAAATAATAATTAAATTGTTTACAGAAAATTTTATAAAATACCAGATATTACAAATAATTGAATTCCTGCGAATAATTTTATTATTTGTGAAAATAATTGAACTTCTCAAAATTACAACTGTGAATTTTTCCAAAATTTAATCATTTTCTTTAATTTTTTAATTTTTAAATTAAATTGTTCAAAACTTCAAAAACTTTTTAGAAAAATATTAAATGAATAATTTTTTAGAGTAAATTGTTCAATATTATTACACTTTTAGAGCAATTAAAATTTTTAAAGACTTTCAATTTAAAACTCTTTTGAAATTTAATTATTTCTAAAAATCCACACTTATAATAACGATTTAAATATTCAAATATGTGACGCGATCTGAAGAAAGGGACCTTAGAAGCAAAAAATTATAGGTTATGTTTGCAATTTTTTAAATGAAAATACAAAAAAAGGATCAACTGTCAATATAAATCATTAAAGTTTAAGTCTTCATTAAAACTAAAATATTTAATAAACACTGATTTTTATTCGAAATAAGTGAAAAGAAACTTTCAAACAAGAAAAAAGTAACTCTAACCCAACCTTAAAATGATTTGCTTCTAAGGTCCCTTTCTTCAGATCGCGTCACATATAATAATAAAATTTTTAAGAATGATTGCATTTTTCGAAGAATTTATTTGAAATTGGATTAAAAATAAATGAAATCCTGCAAAGAATTTTATTATTTACGAAAATAATTGGATACTTGCAAAAAATTTTATTTAATTTTTTTTAAGTAATCAAACTTTTTTGAAAAATTATGAAAATAATTTACAATTGTTTAAATCATATATGAATTCTTATATAATCAAATTTTATCAAAATCCTTAAAAATAATTGATTTCTTTCGGAGAATAACATCAATTTTTCTTTTTAAATATTAGCATAAAATTAATTTACTCTAAATT